ACCCTCCAACCCGTTTGTTGGCACAAGGCTTTGAAGCAGCCAACTGGCAAGTGAATGCGTCTGGGCTGACTTCAATGGAAATCCTCAAATCAATGCTGGCTACATTTGCTGATAGCAAATTGATAGAGGACACACATGGTCGTGTGCGAATGGTTCAGCAGAGTCAATCCAACGAGAAGCTTACCACGGCCGCCATCCAGCAAGTTGTGAATGACAGTGGTACACTTGAAGCTCGCTCATTGCCCCATCCTGCTGCAGTCACCAAAGATGAGTTTCTGCAGCATTGGCACAACACCAAGGACACATTTCGTGCCAAGGAACGTGGCAACCCAAGAACGCACAGGCTTCCTCGCTTCTTTGGCAACATCATGAAGCGTGATCGCAGCTGGGCAGCTGTCACTGAACCGAGCCTGGTTCGATCAGCAGCTGGGTGGGAGTGGATTCGCTTCTACAACGCTCACCGTCTGTGGGAGCAGCAAGTTCAAGTCCAGGCAGGTGTGTGAGCCATTATTTCAGTAAGCTGTCGCATGATGAGTCTTTCTAGCCAAGGGTACTCCATGTGTGTATGTCATGTGAAAATTGTCCCTGCAGGCTGGCTTGCTGAACCTCCTCTGCCACCATGGCATGGTGATGAAGCATCTGGGGACAGGTCGGTGCTATGTAGTTCTTGCGCCGCACAAGTGGGCAACCTTGTCTTGGCCAGTTTGGGAAATGTGTGACTCCAGGCAGCTGCAGCTTGATGCCTCAGCACAGGCTGAGTGGATTTTCATGTTCAAGCCTGACATGTGGAATTGCCAAGTGTGTGAGCCTACTTGGACTGCAGAGCTTGGCATATGCCTTCAGAGCACGGGCCCTCCTGAGCCGCTACTGAAGACATCCCTGCGGTCTCCAAAGAATTTTGTCTTCAATGACTTGGTCATTCTAGTTCAGCACTTTGGCTTGCACTCAGCGCCTGCCAAAACTACGCGCAAGAAGTTGCTGCAACTGCTCGCAGAGTTTGCAGCGTCTGGTGATGAAGAGTTTGTGCAGGAGGTCATGGCAAGTGATACCAAGCCCAAACTGGCCACTACAGATGAGTCAGCGCAGGACCTACTCGTGGAGTGTTTGTTGGAGAACCTGGGCTTGGAGGAGCGCAGTGAGTACAGGGAGCTCCAGAAGAAGTCGTCCTCAGCAAGAAAGGCCACTGCAAAAAAGCAGCAGTGGGCTCAATGGCACATGGAAAAGCTGCTGGAAATGAAAGAGCCTTGGATGCTTACTTTGTTTCATGTGACATGTGAGGTGTTTGAATGCTACTTTGAATGTCACTGGCTCATGTTGGATTCATGCCCTTTGCATGTCCTTGTTGCAAACCAGTGCAGCCTACAGGCCAAAAAGAAAAAGTCCAAGGGCAAAGGCAAAGGAACTGTTCCTGGCAAGGCCCGGGGCAAAGGTCGAGGAAAAGCAGGCCGTGGCAAAAAACGCAGAGAGTCGCAGGGCTCAGCTGCCAGTCTGAAGAAGCAGCGTCTAGAAGAAGCTGAGCCAGAAGACTTTGCTGATGCCAGCCCTGTCAAGTCAGAGGACAATGATGCTCACGATGAGGCAGCTGCTCTTGAGGCCTTGCAGCCAGGCGCACTAGACACAGCACATGCAGAACCCCCGCTGCAAGTGGAGCCGGATCTTCCTGCTGTTGCCGCTGCAGATGAGCAAGTGCCTCCTGCAATGCCCTTGGAAGCTGACCCACAGCGAGTTGAAGCAGAGCCAGCTGCATTGGCCTTAGATTCTGCTGCTGCAGCTGCTTCAAGCTCCTCGAATCTTGGAGATGATCATGTACCATTAGCTGCACTTGCAGCTGCGCCTTCCTCATCATCACAGCCAATTGTTCGAGCTTCCAGTTCCAGGGTGCACAAGACGCCATCTGAGATTTTGGATTGCATCACTCCGCCAGGCTTTGCATTTCGTCTTTCCTACAATGACCGCCGGTTCAAAGTGGAGTGCAATGTGCATGCTCTGCATGAGTCTGTTTGGACATTTCCGTACACCAGAAAGACGTATTCAAAGTCCTTCTGCTCGAATATAATTACTTGGCGGGAAGCCCTGGCTGATGTCCATGATCATGGATGGAAGAAATGGGCCCTTGTGTCAGCCCACTATCCTGTTGCAAACCCACCAACTCCAGGCCACATTGATGAGGAAGTGTATGCTCAGCTTGAGCCGGTCGTACAAGACATGCCGCCGCCCAAGAAGTACTAAGGACAATGGCTGTGGAGAAAATAAGTGTCTGGCACATTCAGTTGAACCAGTTGTGCTGCCCAGAAGGGCTGCGCTTGTGCAGCCAGCTCATTGATTCATTGCCACATGTAGTGTACAAATGTCATGTGACTGAATGTGTTTTCAAGGTTTTGCCACAAGGTAGTAGTCATACTTGAACTCTGGAAGCCAAGCCTGATAGTCATTTCTCACCATCCACATTTTTCCGCATAGAGGCTGTGACTTTTTACATGTGACATTTGCTCTTGTTTTGCTTGTGCTGTCTCCTCATGGCAAGTCGACATCAGCTGATGCCAGCTTGGGTGCCTCTAGTTGTGTTCTGCACTGCTGCAGCTGCTGAACACCGCCGCAGCAGAAAGAGGCCCCGGCCCGTGGAGGTGGCAGCAAATGCAAAGTCCCCAGCAGTCTTTGCAGCCACACCTTGTGTCTTTGGGCAAGGCCAACATCTTGCTTCAAGTCCTGGTAGCACTGATCAAGTCACTGATGGTGCAGCTGAGAGTTCATCACTTGCAGAGCAGTTCTGGCATGTGTCACACAAGACCTTGAATGACTTGTCCAGCTTCGCATCATTTGGCAGGCCTGCAGCTGCTGCTGTTTTTTTGCCCCAACACAAAAGCTAAATGGACTTGGTTGCACAGCTCAACAGTTTCCCCCACTTGCATTTTTCATCCAGGAAACACAATGCCTGTCAACCATGTCATCTGATGCCCTGCCAGGCCAACATCGGTGGATCTTGGCACGCTACAGATCATATGTGGCCACTTCCTGCAGTACATGTCCAACAATGCACCTGAAGTGACAGTTCAGTGGGAGTGCATTCTGAAGCTGTCGTATCCTGAGTACTTCAACGCCCATATGACACTCAATGACATGATGTTCTGTCTCATTCAGCGATCTTTCTTCAACCGGGAAATGCACCCAAATGGCCTCCACAGCTTTGTTGAATTCTTTGCTGGGTGTGGCTCACTGAGCAAGGAGCTCTTGTCTCGTGGCCTGCAGGGCTGTGCCTTTGATATCACCTACGATGCTTCAAACCAGAACTGCCTGAGTGGCAGAGGATTCAGATTGTACTTGACAGCTCTTTCCTCCTTATCTGCTGATGGCCTGTGCTGGTTGGGAACACAATGCAGTAGTTTTGTGGTGCTCTGCCGTTCGGTCACTAAGCGCCGCCCTGACAACAGGTATTATGGAGACTGTTCCAATAAAGGTGTGGCAGAAGGGAACACAATGCAGAGCATGAGCGCCATGCTATTCTTCCTTGCGTGGGCCACAGGTTGCAGGCCGGCCCTGGAGCAGCCACTTAATTCGTGTATGCCAAATGTTCCTGCTATGTACCACACCCTGCGATGGGTCCGAGCCTGCAAGACCACTACGTACATGGGTGCTTTCAATGGACCATCATGCAAGCCCCTACAGATTTGGTCGACTCATGCAAAAAGCTCTGCATTGATCAGAGACAAACCTGATATGTGTGGGGCTGCAGAACCTTTAGTCACCAGGTCTGAAAATGGTCAGTTTACTGGCCGTGGGCCGCAATTGGTGGACAGCGGTTGCTACACTGCTGAGTTTTCGAAGGCAATTGCTGATGCTTTTTGTCCATGACAAAAACACAATTCATATCTTTGCTTCTTAGTTTCACATAGGTTCAATTGTCACCGACTAGGGGTGAAGCGGTGCAAAAGGCTGCCTTTGACTTTCAGTTTGTGCCAAATTACTGCAGGTCAGTCATGTGTTGACTAGGAACCTTGAATCACTGTGGTTTCCAGGTACCTTGTTGTTCATCCAGGCTGGGCAATCAAAGAGCTGTGCTGTCAAAAACTGCACTGGCTTGGACTGTCTCCAGGCTGTCCTCCTGAGTGGTGAAGCTGTAGTGACAGCTGCTTTGTGAACAGGAAAATGCATTGTGCTCTAGGGCGGCATCCTGTCCCAAGGCAAACTTGCTGCACAGTTGACATCTTGCCAATTGGACCTGTGGTTTTGCTAGGGAACTCTTTAACTATTGTTGACATACTGGTATGTTGTTTAGCACTGTGTGTTGCAAATGCTTAATACCAAGTGTAAATACTTTGCCTTAAACCCACGCTAACATGTTTACAACATTAGCAACCCTCACTGATCTAAACCCCTCTGATCTGGTCCCTATAACTTGCCCAGTGAATGTTCACTGGGGGTACGGGATTGTGACCCATGGCCATCTAAGAATGTGTAGTTTCCTCCCAGAATGGTCCACAAAGAGGCCTGTGTTCATGATTTTCTTTGCCGTGCAAGGTCTGAGTCGTACAACGGCTTTGCAGATTCGTTGGTCTTGAGATGAAACGATGCCACCCAAAAATGGGTGGTCCCCTTGGTTTTCCTTTCTCAAAACAAGCGCCGACCTCAAAAAGGGTACTCACACAAAACGACACTACCTGGAATCTTCATGTCCAATTGAAAATCGGGTCATTACCCAAAGTTAAGGTGTTTAATTCCCCCTTGTTCTAGGGGTGGGGCCTCCAGGTACTTCTTTGGGTTGCTTGGGATGGTCCACGTTTTTGTCCGCAAAGACAAACCGCAAGGCTTGAGGGAGCCCTGATGACCCACATCTTGGAGTTGTAGAAAGGCTCCTGGCAATGTCGAAGGTGTGTCCGCGCCAAACTGGGCCGCGCTGTCGCTCGCTCGGTTGCTTCGTGTCACTTCTTTGTGTCATGTTGTATTTTACGTCTCCTGCATTGTCTTTTGTCTTTCTTCGCTGATTTGCGTGTCTTGGTTGCCAGGCTGGAGCGGCCTTCCTCACCGAGATCTCCTTGCATGCCGGATCCTCATGTCGTGTGTGTGTTTTTTTTTCAACCGTGTGCATTGTGTGCCAGCGGGTCCAATCTGAGTCTGAGGCGCACAGCATCACCGCCTTGACGCTGTCATTCGATGCACGTTATCTGTTCAGTGGCCTGGTGCTCAGTGGCCGGGTCTGCGCAAAAAGTAATTTGACGGCAGCTGTCTTGTGGTTTGCAGATTTATCCTCGAACATTTGGCCGGTGGACCTAAATTCCCATGTATGACCAGCGAAGGGTTGATTTCCGGTTGAATGTCCATGCCGAAATGGCATAGAGGGGTGCCAAACCCCAAACCTGCTCCAACTTCGGCCGTGCGCGTACCGGAGGCTGTGAGGGCGGATCAGTCATTTGCTGTGAGGCCTGGCTTGCGTGCTTCTTTTTTCTTTTCTTCGGGCCTCTTTCTGTGCAACTGGAAGGAACCCGGTTCGGGGTGTTTCGTCCGAGGAGAGCCCGGGTTCCTTCCATTCAATACGTTTCACGGGCGTTTGGGCGGGTCCGATTGCCATTTGAGGCGCACTGCTCCGAAGCCAGGCTTCGAGTCTGAAAGGATGCCAGCTCCAGACAGACCCAAGTTCCGGGAGGGGGGGGTTGAAGGGGAACCAAAAGGAAACCAGTGATTTTGGCAGGGCTCCTGAAAAGATACATGTTGCAACCATTTGACACATGTTGCTTTTTCAACAACAAAATAAAGAGACCATTTAACAGTCGCAATGTTCAGGTGTATAATATTGTATAATGTACTTACTTGCCCAAAGCCGACCTTTTGACCTTTTAGTTTCCCGGGTTTGGTCCATGATTTAGTCATGCCCCCAAAAGGTGATCACCTTTTATTTTCAGGTCCTTTGGGCAAGTGAGGGTCAGGATCCCTGTTTGGGGGTCTGTTGAAACATTTGGTCGCCTCAGGTTGCGCAGTCCACCCTGGATGCGCAAGGAGTTGCTCAGAAGGTGTCCGCCATGGAGTCCGCCTGCCGAACTTGCCGTGGGCTTCCTTTCGTTTTAGGCTCGTGCTTGTGTCTTTTCGTTGCCTTTTTACAAACATTTGTTTTGTCTTTTCTGGGGGGCGGGGGGGTGCAAGGGAAACCTCGTTCGTTTGCGTTTGAAGGGAAACCAAAGGGAGCTGATACTGTCTTGGGACTTGGTGCCCTTTTCGTGTGGTGGCTTCAAAGGGAAACCGAGGAGACTACTGTTTTGGGAGTTGGTGCAATTTGTGTGGTGGTTTCAAAGGGAAAAGCAGAGAAAGCTGAACCCATGTTAAAGTTTCTTCTAGGAGACAGCTTGGGTGTTCGCGCTTGCCAGGCTTGACCAGAAGATCGTCCGTGTCAGGCACGCATTGGCAGATGTGAACTCTTCACATGAGCCACTGGTTCAAAACCCGGGTACATGGAGGGTAGTAAGGGACAATCCCCTTGCCATAAATAGTTGCGGATCTCCGCCTTCTTAATTCTTGAAGCATGGTTCTGGGATTACGACCAGTTTAATACCGCGTTTTGATTGTGACTCATGTTTTTCCGTGGATACTGAAATTCCTTGGAGACAGGATGTTTGAGCTGACAGCTTTTTCTGGGACTGAGGGACATGTGGACATGTGGATGTGTGGATACTTATTTCCTGGGAGACAAGCCTGAACCTGCAGTTTTTCCCCGCCTCTGACGTGTGAAATTAGCCGGCTGGCTGGGTGCGGGCAGATCTCCGATTCATGTCCTTTCGGCACAAAGATTCAGTCGGATGACCAATGTCCACGCCAAAACCTTGCAGTTGCAAGGCACGGAGGGCTTGAGAAGCCTGCTGCAAACCAGGCGCAATCTGGCTGCGCATGCCGAGTTCGGGTTGTATGTTGTGTTTTTTGAAATGAGGTGGCGACCAACTGAGGTGTTTGTTTCTGCCCCGTCAAAGTGCCCTTTGATTATGTGGGTTTGTCTCAACATAGGCCCTCCCCCTATTTTGGTGGTCCCTTTGTCCGTTGAAAGCCACCAAAACGGGGTACGGGGGTTGCGAAAATCCCAACACCTCGTCGCAAAGTCCGGGCCCTTCGGCCAGGCACAGCGCGAGGACGAGAAGAAGGCGGAGCAGCAAGAAGATGTGGCTGTGGGTCTAAACAGTTTTGGGATCCCATTTTGGGGTAGGTGAATTTACCACCCATTTTAGAACCTATTTTAGTAGGGATTGGGATGTTCACCGGGGGCACGGGCTTTTGACCCATGGCCATATGAGCGGAATCGAAGAGAAATCAACACGACTCGGTCCCTGGCTTTGACAGCTGACCAAGCGTATCACTGTTTCGGTTATCAGGTTTGGGTGGTGCCTTATTGGTTTATGAGATGGTATTGTCAGGCTCTTCTGACATTGGGGGCCCCGAAGCGAGTCTGGATGTACTGTGGGCAAAGTCTGCGCCAGCAGGTGGTTGATCAACCTGTATTCTCGGAATTTTATCCATTCCAACTGGTGCAGTAGTCATTACGCAAAAAAAGAGGATGACGAGTAACCAATATGCTCAATGGCATAGAATTGTGCATCCTCTACCCGGTCACACCTTGTGTTTGAAATTGAGGAACCCCCCTAAGTAGTAAGTTTCCTTTGGGATCCTTTTGGCTCTCGCGTTGTGTCTAATTGTGGAACCCCCCAAAATGGTGAGTTTCCTTTCGGCTTTTTCTCTAGCTCCAAAAGGGGTACCCTCCAAAAAGCGACGAGCCGATGTTCGATCCAGCCAGGCTCGCGACCTGCAGCAAAAGCTTTGGGAGTCAGTCAGGGCCGCCGAATGCCCAGAGAGACCGGGTGTTTTGTTTTTGTGTTTATTATTATTATTATTTTAATCTTTTGAGAGACACGTCCAGGGAGACACCTTGCCAACCCCCAAATGTTCCCTCGCGGTTTTGGGACTCATGTTGAGCCATGGCAAAGTGAAGGTGAAACTCGTATGTGCGGTCCAAGATCTCGGCTACCACGGCATCTCTGGATGACTTGATGCTGATTCCAAAGGCCAGCGTCTCAACTTTAACCGCGGGTTCGGTGTCGTCGAGGTTCCGGCAGGCGCTGAAAATACATGCAACCACACTGCTTTCAGTGTCTTACTTGCCCAAGGCTGACCTTTTGACCTTGTAGTTTTCCGGGTTTGGTCTATTTTTAGTCATGACCCCAAAATTTAACCTTTTATTTTCAGGTCCTTTGGGCAAGTGAGGTGCGGCACAGGGTGCCTCTAATCCTTTGGAATCTGTGGACTTTTTCCCAAACACCGAGGCCTACATCCCATGCAGAATCCATGAATCCATGGGAAAGATACCCAAAAGGAGTCTAGGTTTCCTAGCATAGCTGTTGTTCAGTCCTACCTCACGGACGTCCTCAACGAGATCCGCGAGTTGGAGGATAGAATGCGTGGGCACTAAGAAGCGATGGTCAGCTTGACATGAGCAGCGCCAGAAAACCCGAGTGGCTGCTGTAGGTGGTTCTACTGGTACCAGGTTTCAATGAGAACGGTGGGAAGACATATACATCATAGGCATGTCGGTAGAACCAAAAGTCAAGGGTGTTTGGAATCAGTGACTTGGTCACATTCAATCTGCGCTTGCATGTCTCAACCCCCAACTCGCTTAGGCAATTCCTGAAGCACGAGAGCGACCACGTGCTGGAGCAAAAGGCCCATCCTATGCTGCTGATTTCCGTTCCACCAAGCCCTCTGAAGCAAATGGGGTATGTGTCAATTTGCGGGGGACCCTCAAATTATGGTTGTCCAATCAGCGTTACGTCAGGAAAGCGACCTGCAAGAGAAGTTGCTCACCATTCAGATGGAGAACTGTCCTCAGCTCGCCAGGTTGACACACTTTGTGCAACACTCAATGTCCAGGATGTTCTACTAAACCAGTTTCTGAGGAGAAAGCAAGAGAGAGCAATGGCAGATGAGAAGTATGACAGCCAGAGCCTCATGTGGGGCTGTGCGTTTGGAGATGCGAACCAAGCGCGGCGGTATTGTGCATACACGCCTGTGAGGACATGACATGCTAGCCGTGCATGTGTACAGGTGTACGTGTGTACTGTGAATCTTATATTTAGGGCTTTGTGTGCTTGTGGTTGCTTGGTTGGTTTTTTGGTTGGCTGGCTGCCTGGCTGGGTGAGTGGGTGGGTGGGGGCGTGGGACACATGCACGCTTCAGATCTCTTCGTGCAGCTCAAGCAGACCAGCGAACGGCATCATCAGGCCATGCGCTGGCCACGATTAGCTTTCCACTTGCATAGATGGTTCCACTACCTGGTGCAATAAATCTGGTAGTAAGGCCCACATAAAGATTTATAGTGATCTTCGCAGAGCCAAAGTCAATGGGTTTGCGGCGCTCATTTGGATCAGGATATGCAAGAAGCAAATACCAACTTCGACTCGCGGCACAAGAAGATGCAGGAGCCTGGGCGATCCCCGATTCCCCGATCCTGGATCCTCGGCCCCGCAGCGATCTGTGAGTGACTGCAGGATCAGTTTGAGGGCACCATCTCCAAGGAGTACGAGAAAAACAGCAAGCTTTTAGACGCCGGTGACTCAGGGAGCCAGAGTGGGATGAACATAGTTGTCCTTTTTGGTTGATTTGGTTGAAAAATAGAGGGCGATTCCTGGTTTACCTGGTGGTTCAATCAACTACCAGGGCCCTGGCTATTTCCCCCAAACAGGACACCTATGGGGATGAATGTAGCAAACACATCAGGCAGGCCTTAAGGTCCTTGCACTCCCAAGGAGCTGCAAAGTCTTCGTGATGAGTTTGACGAGGATAAGTCCAAGGCGAGACGTTGCTCCAGCTAGGCCAAGCGGAAAATCATGGCATGGAGCAGGGTCTTAGCAAACAGCGCCATTCTACGCATGGCCACAGGTTACTGCAATAGGGATCTGCATGGATCTGAAAAGTGCTGACCACCACAGCACTTCACTATCAGACTACAACGTTCATGATCAGATGGTTGATGACCATCCTTCACGTGGCTAAGAGCAGTGGTCGTGACGCTGGGAGCCGCACATGATGGTTGCGGGACATTGGGTTTGCGGTGGTTGCCAATTTAAGTGTCCGAGGGAAGCCCCGTTTATTGCAGCAATGACTCAGCGTAGTTGCAAGCTGGCGCCATTTTCTGTAGCCTTGTCGCAACCATCGCACGTCAGACCCGTCCCCACCCCAGCGCACATCGTGATTTGGCCTTTGGTTCCAGTTGGCCTTGTTTGGCCTGCTTTGGCTTTCCCCAAAACGCCCACGACCATATCGAGAGCACCATTTCTGCGTGCGGGGAACCGAACAAGATAATGTTCTCCTCCAAAACTATTTTATTTACTTCCATTTGCTTAAGAATCTTTTATATTTTCACCTGTTGGTTTTGAAGGGAATCTATCACTAGTGGATATTTTTTCCAGGGGACTGAAGCAAAAGGAAGTTTAGAGTAGACTTGAAACAGAATCAGAAAACCTGTTTCTGTGTACCATATCTTTTGCAGTTGTCGCTCTCGGGTAGTTTTGGTTTCCCGGTCCAATCGTCCCAATCGGGTGTGTCTCAAAATTAAACAGGGGTAACCCAGGTTTTGGTCTTTGTTTCCATATGGCTGTGGGTCAAAAATAGGTACCCAAAATGGAACCCTGGTAAGTGGCATGGACCAAAACCTGAGGTCTATATCCTGGTGGTTTAATTATCACCCACACCCATATACCAAGGTCCCATGTTGGGGATTCCATTTTTGGAGCCAACCGCCTGCAATCCCTTCGGGCTCACCACCACAACTTGCTGGTGCTCAAAAGGGAATGAGAATTGGAATGACCCACAAAAATCCATCGACAACCGGTGGTTTCCTTTATGGGGGAATGAGGGAATGACCCTTATAAATCGCTCGAACTGGTGACCAAGGCCTGGGTTCATTCAACCACCTTCCCTACCTACCAGCAAGACCGCCTTTTAGTTGCCACTTGATGAGCCTCGTCTTGCTGTGACGCAGGGGCAAATATAGGGATGGATTTGGAATGTGAAACGGCGGAAGAAAAAGGATTAAACCAACCCAAAGGAGGCTTAAGCAAGTGGAGAACCATTTTTATGTATGTTTAAACAGGGTGTTTAACCATGCAAGTCGGAAAACAGGATCCCACGGAAACCTTGCTCAGCTACACTAAGCTTTTTAAACATGCTGCCGGTTTCCTTGGGGATCAAAGCCTGGGTTCATTCCATCTGGTTCGTTCAACCGCATCTTGGTGTGACGCAGGGGTACAGGGATGCCTGCAAGAAACAAATCCATCCGACCGGTGGTTTCCTTTAAGGGGACCCTTAAGTTCATACCCCTGGCTTAGGTTTCTTCCTCCCACATTCCCTGAGCAAGACCCACTAAGTCCCCCAGTAGTGCCCTTTTACCGTTTCCTTTGTGGGGGAGGGTTCCCCTACTAAAACAGACAAAACAGAACAAAGAAACGGTACCAACTTATTCGAGCACCCCTCAAATCTGGAGGACCTAGGGCCAACGTCGACTCCGCGCGCGACTCGCTCACTCCGCGCGACTCGGCGCCTCGAGCGTCAGATGCTGAGAGCCCACGAAGAGCAGCTGCTGCAGCTCCGCAGCGCGCAGGACGCGGCGGCTTTGCGGTCCGTGCGGCAGCGGTTTTTACCAGGCGGAGAGTCAAAAAGGGAATCCAAAAAAATTGAAACCCCTAGTAAATGGAAACAAAGACTAAGACCTGCGTGAGCCTAGCCCTTCAATTTTGAGCCATTTCACGATTTGGGCTGTGGTGGTCAAAACCGTTTTGGGATCCCATTTTGGTAGGTGAATTCACCACCCATGGTTGAACCTATTTTAGTGGGGAACCGATGTTCACTGGGGGTACGGATTTTGACCCATGGCCATTTGGGTGTGGCTCAAAATGAAAGAGCTAGGGCCAACCGCAGGTGTTTGTCATTGGTTCCATTTGCCGTGCCATTTTGGTACATGAATTTGAGTCACGGGTCTGAAGAATTGGACAATTTCCTGAATTTCCGGTTGGGCTGTTGGGGGTTCTCCTTGGTAGCTTTTTGGTTGCCCAGCTCAGAAGCCAAAGTCCGAAGCCCACTTGGCGCGATTTTTGTGTTTCGCGTGCCCGAACGCCAGGGTGCCAGAAGTTTGGCACTGCAAACAAGAATGCGTTGGCCAATTTTTTATAGCCACCGCGCAAAAGGGTGCAAGCTCAAACCAGGATGAGGCGTTGTTCTTGGTGGTCCTCGATTTCAAGTTGGTGAATATGGCAGCAATTCACGCAGACTGTTTGAGCGGTCCAGTTCATTTTCGAACCACATGTTTGGGGGTTCAAGATTTTGAGTCGCGGCCGGTTGGTTTCGCAGCCAATCTCACAGACAAAGAGAAGAGCAACTGTCAAGATCCTTCTGAAACGTCCAAGTAAGGATGTCATATCTTGCAAAGCCAGAGCAAGGTGGTACTTTGCATCCTGTTGTAATCCTGCTGTAGGCTTCGAGAAAGGGCGCGTGATTTGTTGACAAGCCTTCTTGCTTTGGAGCTTCTGCCACAAAACTGACAAGGCGAAATAGCTGTGACTGCCTCAAAACACCCAATCTGTCTTGTGCGTGGTACTCAGTTGTTCAAAGACGACCTTTTGACCTTTTGGTGTTCCCTGTTTGGTCTACTTTTAGTAAAGGTCCCAAAAGGTTAACCTTTTATTTCCAGGTCCTTTGCGCAAGTGAGGGTAGTGGTTGGCACGGCATGCCTGGCCGCAATGCCCGATGTCAAGCAGGAGCAAGCCTTGCGAGATTGGAGGACAGAGTACGACAAGGCGCACGCCACGCGATGCATATATGCGCACATGCGCACATGCGCACAGGTATGTTTGTGTGTGTGTGTGTTTTTATTGCGGAAACCATTTTGTTGGCTCATGTGGCCGCAAACCAAATGGAAAACACCCGAAATGATTTATGGGTTCCCCCATTTGGAGACAAATCCCCAATGGTCAAAGCACCCTTCCAAGTATCAAGGGAACCATGACCTATATAAGCAGTTCCGACCATGGCCATGACCCATTCGACAGCTTGAAAGCTCACTGTGCTACTTTCTCAGAAAAACAAGCAAGTCCAAACGTTTCAAGGCTCGCGTCCTGCCAAGCGAGTTGACTTGTCAACCTTGGGTGTTCCCTGTGCAGCAACCACCTTGTTGTTCGGTCGCATTCCGTTGTTCTCCCTTTTGTTGAACATGATTGCCCCTGAAGGCCCCTTTTGCCATTGTCACCGATTGCAACTAGGGCATCGCAGATGGTGATCACCTATGTCCAGTTCAGAAAAAAAGAAAAGAACAAATAGCGGCGCTTTTCAGGCTAGATCCGGTGATCACCTATTTCCAGTTCAGGCAAACTTCGACGCTTTTCAGGTTTAGCTCCGAAATCCCTGGTGAAGGGCGAGCCATAGCCTCCCCCAACCGCCGGAAGCTGAAGGGAGCCCGAAATGGACTCGGTCCCAAGGGACCGGAAGCTTCCGGCTGGCTCTGAGGGAGTGGCCGCCGCCCGAATTTCGCAGGTCTGCAACTTGCTGAAGTCCGATGGCCTGAAGTTCGAAGAAGCCCTGCGGCAGCAGGCCAGGAGAAGAGGGCGGTGGCAAAAACCACCGGCGCCGGTTGTTCCCCCTTTTTTTCAATGTTTTGTGTGGACGTTTCTTTTTTTGTTTTTTCCTTTTTCTGGAGGGTGCCTTGCATATCTACCAAGAGATCTTTTGGAGGGCTTGTTTCCCTGTGGAGGCGTTGGTCAAACAACTGCCAAAGGGTCATTCACGTCACACGTTTTTTCTTCTGTTTTTTTCTATGATGACACTGGCATCCTCATATGGAGCCCGCGATTGTCCCATAGCATAGACACAGAGATCCAGCTCCGAAACATGGAGGAACGTTCCCCCCCTGTCTTGGGACGGCCACTCGAGGAGTTCGAGTATGAACACCAGATCGTCGAGATCCAAGAGCGCGAGCAGACACCTCAGCTACGGCTTGGCGTGCGGGGAATGTCTTTGAGGGTGGCAAATTGCTTTTGAATCTCTTGAGTGTTATTTGGGTGTGAGTCAAATTGAGCCACCGGGGGAGCACAGGAATTGGTCCTTGATTCCATTTACCAGGGTTCCAATTTGGGTACCTATTTTTGACCAACAGCCATTTCAAGTCAGCATACATTTGGGCCAGTCAAAAAAACAAACAAACATGTTTTCCAGCTGATTTCGCGGAGCCCCTTTCAGAGTGAGTTGAACATATGCTTTAAGGACCACGTCAGAAACTATACCCTTGTGCCAGTGGGAGCAAGCCTGGCGCAAATCCCTCTTGGTCGCCACTTGGTCGCCACTTTCCCGTTCTTTGTGAACACCACAACAGAGCATGAGGACAAAGGAGGGTTCGTCTTCCTGGCGATGGTTGAAATTCAGTGAGTGCTCTCATGTCCCTGCCAATTTGACCACCCAGAGGCTCCAATTCGATTGTTTTAGGGCCTTCAAGCCACCCGGTGTTGAGACCCCCAACCACCTCAATGGAGGGGTCTGGCCAATGGAGGGGTCGGGTCTTCCATTGAAAGCCGAAGCCAGGAGCCTCTGAGGATAGACTACGGGGTTCCTTGGGTTGCTTCCAAGTTGCTGAAAGCTTGCAGGTTTGCCTTGTGGCAGGTTTCCGAGAGCAAAGTTGAGCAGAATCTTACTCCTTTTGACCTTTTAGTTTTCCGGGTTTGGTCTATTTTTAGTCATGACCCCAAAAGGTTAACCTTTTATTTTCAGGTTCTTTGGGCAAGTGAGGAAAGGTACCCTGAACACAGGCAAACCCAAACAACGCCCTTGGCAGGATGCAAACCTGCGTTGCGTCCCCTTGAACCACCTAAAGGGTGCCAACTCCAAAGGCAAAGAGGCACACTCCAAGTTGCATTTCTGGATGTTTTTGCCTGAAATGTGGCCTGCTTTGAAGTCAAGGCAAGGACTTTCCATGTGCAACGACTGCAGCCCAAATTGGATTCAGCCTCACTTGTGGCAGCTCTGCTCAAAATCTCTCAAGACGGCTCCGGGTTTCAAGCATGCTTCGCGTTTTGCGCGCACAAACTGGGGCTTACCCACCCACCCTTTTTTCCCCAGGAAAACAAAAAGAGCTCCCCTTGACCCACCCCCGTTGTCCCCAGAAAAGCACAAAGCCCCGCCCCTTTTTCTCCGCATCTTCGCAGGCGCAAGGCCCTGCAGGATGAGTCGGAGAAGTCCACGACAGCTCTGAAGGAGCAAAAGATGTGGGCTTCGAATGGTGGCTGTGGGTTTTCGAGGGAGCTAGCGGTGTTCTTGACTGCTATTGGGCTGGATCTTTAGTAGACTTTAACTTTTTGGTTGAACATATTGGGGTGTTTTCCACTAAACCCCAAAAAGATCAAGCTTTTTGCAGGGGGGTCAACAGCAACCAAGTGTTTTTGGGGTTGGTTCAATGGGAAAAAAGAAAACAACCCAACACGGTACACCAAACCCCCAAATAGTACTTGGGGGTGCCCTGCAAATTCACGAAGCTTCACCAAAACGGATCCCCAAAACGAGATTCCTTGACACAGGAGGCGGGTACTTTGATGTTCTATGATCTGAGGGGTAAGGATGGATTCATGGACTCGCGGACACCCTGTCTTGGCATTTGAGACCGCCATGGTCAGATATGAAGGTATTTCTTCTAGAGACAATGTTTGGCCATTCTTATGTAAGGGGGGCCAAGAGAAAATCGAGTCCCATTTCGATTTCGAGGGTAATGAGAGAAACAAGCCAGTGTGTGCGTGTGGTTGTGCACCCAACAAAAGCGCAAGCTCGCGGATTCAGGGGACTCCATCGAAGGTTTCTTAGGTTGGCGAATTATCAAAGAATAGCGCCGTGTATGGGTGTGGCCGTCAAAAAAAAGCTGGTTGGGTGGGTTTGAGAGGGCAGCTTGCTCCTTGGGTAGACCATTTGTTCAGGCTTTGCAAGGGAACTACGACACTTCGAGATGATTCTAAGCGAAAGACAAATTTGAGGTCTGTTGGAAGGAGCCAAGTGCAGCTTTCTTGGGAACCGAAAAAAATATTACGGGGAATCTCCGAACCATCATGCTTGTCTGGTTGGGTCTTTTTTCCCCCCCCCCCCCCCCCACGTTTTTTTTCTTCGAGCAGACAGTTCGAGAGGTTCAGACTGAACTCTGAGAAGAGGCCCAGATTCTTGCGGCATCGCAGGATGGAGTCAGCATGAAGCAGACCATCGGCATGCTACAGAATCAGGCAGGCCGAGTTTCCTGCTTTGAGTGGCATGGCATGGCCCCCCACGTGGAATACGTTTTGCCATTGTGGCACCCCAGAAGGATAGTGTCCAAATCTCAGGGATGTATCGCCATTCAAGTTTCAAGCCGGGCTCAAGTCGTCTTTGCAAAACGCGGAACTTGCTGCAACACGGTACTCAAAGATGAGAAGCATCCCCTAAGTTGTGTCTGTCCATCTCGACTCCAACGGGTGAGAGGTCAAGGCAAAGGAAGCTGAGCTTGCCGAGGCGCGTGTGACTGGGAGGGCGAAAGAGAGCGGTTGTTTGTTTGGTGGTGTTTGACTTGGTGGCGAAGCCAGCCATCCGGTTCCTTAGCTTTTTATGCTTTTAGTGTTTAGTGGTTGGATGTCCATTTAACCCACTAAAAGTGAGGCACTTGTAGCGGGGGATCTGAAAACGGACAGTTGAGAGTGCCTCTTTTGGCGGTTTCAAAGGGACTTCCATGCGAAGAAATCTTCATTTTCGGGGTTCCCTATTCATATATGAGACACAACACACACACACACACACCTGTGGCTTGGTCTCCTTCCAGCAAACGGAAAATTCCGAGAAGGAAATCCCCGTGGCATCGGACAGGCTATCGGGTACGCAAACCGGTGGTTTGCAGAGGACCTCTGAGGTAAGAAGCTCTGGAAGCACTCCCCGGTAACCCGTCGGTTGGATTCAGGATTCGGACGGAAGCAAGTGAGCGGCGAAAAAAACCTCCGTAGATCAATTTAGATGAAACTGGAAATTACTCTTGCAGTCGTAAGCGTTTTTGCGAGATTCGTAAGCGATCGGAAGGTCCTGCGTAAGCTGCATGCATGAGTCACTCGTCGTAAGCTTTGCGTAAGCTCTGTTTGTCAGATTTGGTAGAAGTTGCTTTTGGTCTGCGTAATGCTTTTAGGCGTGAAAATGGGATCAGATTGCTGAAATGGGTTCTTTCGAGCAACAAGGAAAGGGATTCTTTCAGTGAACAACTTTTTCAGGCTCAGACAACTGCTGTTTGACCGTTGGGCTGCTTCTGCAAACCTTTGGCAATGTTCCACGCACAGCGCGTTGGCCAGCTTGAACAAAAAAGCTCGCGTCAACTTTTCGAGCCCCGAAAGTTTTGTGTTGGCACCTCACCTTTTTCGTTGCACGGGCTTGGAAAACAACATGTTGAGCCCCGGGCTTGTTTTGCTGCGGCTTTGCCTTTTCACCTTTGGGCCTCGGGCTTGGAAAGCACAAAAAACTTTTCGAGCCCAGAAAAGTTTTTTTCTTGCGAAGCACCTTTTGCCACCTGCAGGCACTTTTCAGGGCCCCGAAGCCCAAAAAAGCTCGCGGGCTGGAAACAAATTTTCGAGCCGAACGTTGTTTTTGGGGCTGCATGCTTTAGTTTTGAAGATTTTTTGCGACAGCCACCCGGATCATCAAGACTTGATCACGTAGTGGTTAAGATCATGCCTCTCACCCTAGCTCGAGGAAGTGTGGGGGTTCGATTCCACGTGCCTGTTTGTGGTTGAAGGCGCCTTTGCACTTGTGCCCCGAAAAGTTGTTTTTGGTTTTGCGGGCTTGGACAACAACATGTTGAGCCCCGGGCTTGTTTTGCCGTGCTGGCACCTCTTGCTCGCAGCGCCCGTGCGCTGTCTGCAAAGTTTTCTTGAGCTGTCGCCCCTCTCTGGCCGTGAAAGCTTGAGCACCGGCTTCGGGCAGCAACATCAGGATCACATGGTGTAGTGGCATCACACCCGCTTCACATGCGGCAGGCCCGGGTTCAATCCCTAGTGTGCCCACGTCAATGCTGAGCTTGCGCAGCAAAGCCTTTGCACCTTTCCGTGCAAGCTGTTCCTCCGTCATGCTGGCGCCGCTTGCTCGCGGAGGATCCACGCAGAAAACAACTTTTCGGGTCTCGAAAGTTGTATTTCAGCTTTTGCTCTCCATGTCTGTGCAGCAAAGCCTTTGCACCTTTCCATGCAAGCTGTTGCTCTGTCATGCTGGCGCCTTGCTCGTGGTGGATCCTCGCAGAAAACAACTTTTCGGGTCCCGAAAGTTTTCCCCTCCATGCCTTTGCGCCTTTCCAGGCAAGTTGTTGCTCTGTCCTGCTGGCGCCTCTTGCTCGCAGAGGTTCCGCGCGCTTTCTGCAGAAAACAACTTTTCGTGCCCCGCCCTCCATTGTCTTGCTGGGCCTGTGCAGCAGCCTTTCCATCTGCAAGCTGTTGCTTTGTCATGCTAGCGCCTCTTGCTCACGGGGGATCAGGCGAGCAACTAGTCGTAAGCTATGCGTAAGCTCCATCTTCGAAAAGCAGCAAACGTAAGCGACCTTTCGGTTGGCGGAAGCTTTCCGCAAGCGATTGCGGAAGCTGGAGAAATTTCCTTTACGGGTAACAGGGTTTTTTTAACTGCTGAAGTGAGCTTGCACTAGCCTCAAACCACTATCCCTCAGAGAGAACACCTTCTAGCATGGTTGCATAAGTCACACTCCTTGCATTTCACTGCTTGCACCTGGCGAAAGAACAGTTTCCACAAAAAAGTGAGGTCTTTTAGAACCGCGCGCTCCGTCCACCAGCGTTCTTTGAGGGTCTTCCTGATGAAAAAAGCCTCATACCCCTCGTTTGCATCTCCGGCAATCTGCGTTCGTCGCAAGCCAAGGCGGCAGAGCGGCAAGAAGATCTGCGGAAGAAGCTCCAAGCGTCGCAAGAGATGGTGGAGAAGGCCCGAGATCCCGAGATCGCAACAACTCGTACCTGGTTGAATTGGGCATTCGAGTGACGTTTGTCAGAAGACCAGAACTCACAAAGGGGTCTTTTTTGAGGGCTAAATTTAAGCCCATCTTAGGGGGTCTCTTTGGATTTGGAGACAAACTAATATGAGGATCGGTCGAGATATTTGTTGTTGTTTTTGTGTGTGTGTGTGTGATCCATTGGGAGGGACATGCGATGAGCACTAAATTTCCAGCCATTGGAGCATTAAGTTGTCTATGTTCTTCACGATAACCGCGCTGATGTGTCCAAATCGTGATTGGGTGAAGATTGAAGCTAAGCTAGAGCCGACCTTGTGGATTAATCCCTGTTGCACTCATGTGAAGCTACCTACATTTGGAATGCCAGCTTGGTGTAAGTATCTATTCAGAGATGCGGCGTGAGGGTGAGGGTATCTTGGACGAGTTTCATGAGTGGCGACTTAAGGGTTCGGGAGTTCGCCGATGTTGGATGCGGGTAGAATTGCTTGAATCAAATTGTGGAGCAGATTCCCGTCATGGCTCCCCTTCCAATTTTCAGAGGAGCAAGAAACTCATTTGCTTTTTGGGCATGCGTTGGACAACAGGTGGGTGTGGCTCAAAATTAAGCAGGAGGGGTTACGCAGGTGTTGGTCCATGTTTCCACTTACCAGGGTTGCATTGTGGGTACCGTTTTTTTGAGCCACAGCCATGTCTAGACACACATTGTTAAGAAGCGCCGGCTTTGGCAGGTGCGAGCGCAACTGAAGGAGCGCGAGAGAAGCTTGAAGGCAGGGCTCAGAATGGAAAGCGAATTGCCCAAAAGTGGTAGTTGCAGGGGCCGCGGGTTCCGCTTTGTGGCTGGGGTTAACGTGTCGTTTTCCAGGCTATTTGTTGTGGGCCAAAGGAAAGGACGCCGATTTTTGTTGGGCTCTTCTGGTTAGAGGCCAGCCCATTTCTGTTGACCAAAAGACGCGTGTGAGCCGGCCAGGTGAAGGACGAAAGCCTGAACAAGCTGAGAGAGTGGACCTGGCTCGTGGCACACAGACGTGTGCCCGCTCGTCCTTTGGAGTCTGCCAAAAATCAGTGCCCTTTTTCCCATAAGACCAGAAGGTCAGTGGAGGGTGGGGACGACTTGACCCCAGGGGTGACTGTTTTTTCCAACGAACCGGATTCGGAAGCCATGTGTTGAAGTCCAGATTGGGGTAAACAAAGAATGTCCAATGGCCAAAGCATTTTGCTTGGTTTCGACTGTCATGAGCCTTGTTGGGATGTCCAACTAGCAGGGTTCTGGGACCATGACAATGACCGATAGGAGTTTTTCTTTTCGTTTTGCAGAGCTCGCTGCCAGGCAGATGAAGCACCTCGAGAGCTTTCGCTTCGTGCTCTTTCACAAGGCTTGTGGAGGTTAGTTCTACCAACTCCATTCCCTGGCCTTTTGTCCTTCAAATCCACGGCGCCGATCGGCACCGGTTGGGTTTGTTGGGATGATCCAAATCGGCGCCGATCGGTACCCTTTTGGGATTGTTTGTCCAAGCTGGGCGAATTAAACAGGGCTCCTTAAAAGATATCTCCATTTTGCCACCATTTGAAACATGTTGCTTTTTCAACACCGAAATAAATGGACACCACCATTTACAAGTTGCAATGTTCAGGTGTATAATGCATCCGGATCCCTGTTAAATCACCCAACGGTTTCCCGATCGGGGAGTTTGGTCCAGCGCCCGAGCGGGGATGTGTTTTTCTCAGGTCAGAGCGCTGGAGGAGGAGCGGGACCCTTTGGAAGAGCAGGCCGGAGCTTCGCACCGATTGAGATGGCTGTGGTCAAAACCGTTTTGGTTGATCCCATTTGGTAGGTGAATTCACCACCCATTTTAGGCTTCCTATTTTAGTGGTTGGATTGGTTGATGTTCGCTGGTACGATTTGGCTTTGACCCATGGCCAGATCAATGGCCATGTCTTTAGACACGTGGGCCCAAGTGGCGGCTCCCACGCTTTTTTGGAACAGAAAGCCGCTGCGAAGGTGAACTCCCTCAAGACGAGCGTTCGAGAAATGTACAACGAGCTGTTGCCTCAGTGCCAAGGATGGCAGGAGTATGGTTGTCAGGTAACTCGGTCTTTCGAAGCCTTCATGAACCAATTTCCGGAATGGGGGCCAATCGGCGGGCTGTGTTGGATGCGTGTTTTCTTAGGTTTGGACATGTTTTTGCGGCTTCGCATGTGCATGCATGTTCCACGCACGGTTCTGAGTTGCACCTAGGTTCGTCCGGGAGTTCCGGCAGAAGCAAAAGCTAGACCAGGCACTAAGTGCCTGGATCCAAGATTTGCCTTGCAACATATTTGTTGAAACCGTTTTGGCTTGAGTCGGTCGAAGGGAAGCCAAAAAGGTTCTGTGCGGAAACCATCCGTTTTGGCCCCCAACCATGCATGGATTTCTGGCACAAGCATTTTCCGGAGTTCTCGCCGAGGACAAAAGCATGCGGTCGTCCTCCTTGCAGCAAGAGAATGTGGAGCCTCTTGCTCAGAGCAATCTTTCTGAGCAATCAGCAGGAAATTCTGCAGCAAGTTGTGAAGAACTTGTTTGTTGGATATTTGAAATTTGGCTAGCTTCCTGTAGAGCTTGCTGTAGCAGGTTTCTATGAGTCTTAGCCTCAGCTCAACGCCTACTGCAGCTTGCCTCAACTCCAGGCTGCGAGCACAGCTCGTGCAGCTGAAAAAGGACGCCGAGTTTTGAAGTCACGCTGTGCAATGATTCCATGCGAGCGCGCGAATTGCAGAAGCTCGTGCATCTTAGGGAGGAAACCAAAGCTCCCCCCCCCCAATACCCACCCACCTGGCAGAAAATGTTTGGACAGATTCTTATAAGTTGTATTTTCCCGGATTCTGGGGAGCTTTCTTCAGGACCTGTGTCCTGCTTGATCAGTGCGCTGTTGACAGGACGGCCGCCGGCTGATTCAACAGGCCACGAACTTGCTGCAATTTCGGAGAAGTCTTCGCCAGATGTCTCCGTGAGGGTTAAAACCCTGTCATCGGCCTGCACCAGTCCTTGTGTTCTTTGGGTATCTTCCATAGAATTGAAGGAGAGACCTGAGGTAAAAGCAACTTCATTGCTTCAACCTCGATTGGGCAGCCCCCATACTGGGCGAGTTTTCCCGGAGGAAATCGCTTTGAAGCGAGTTGAATGTTTGGGTGAGGGGCGGTTTGCCTCAAAGGAAGCCTTCCTAGGTCCTCCAGTAGAGAGCTTAGAATAAGTTGGTACCAACTTTTTTCTGTAGTCTATTTTAGTAGGGGACCCCTCCCAAACAAAAAAGGGGTTAACAAGGGCACCAATTGCTGGGGGACCGAGCTTCGCCAAACGGCCAACCGCCAACCCAACAGGTTGGCGAAAGTTCAAGAGCAGCGAAAAAGCCAGGCGGAGCAGGTGCTCCACCCGGACACCACCGAGGAGTACACGCAGATTGCGAAGAAGCTGCAGGCCTTGCGGTTTTTCCGATTCGAAGCGACAGCCCGAAACGAAGAGTCCAACTCTGTGGAAAATGGGTATGGGTCAAAATTAAGCCATCAGGGGATCGCAGGTTTTAGTGCTTGGTTCCATTTAGCGGGGTTCCATTTTGGGCACCCATTTTTGACCGATCGCCTGACATAGATCCCGCTGGCAACCATCCGCAAGTAAAAATCAAGGGGTGGTTAAAGTGGAGCCACAGGGTTTTCAATAACTTCGGGGCCCGGAAGACCCGGAGCAACATTTGATAAGAAACACATGAAGGCTATGTTGCTTGCTTCAAGCGCTGGCATGGGCACAACAACCTTCCCCTTCCCACCTGAGTTGTCGCAAATGATGGGCCTTGGACCGCTCATCCAAACGCGGCACAAACTGACTTTGTCTCTGCATGAGAGGGTTTTTACTGGATGCCCCAAGGGTCCCCTCAGCAAAAGAGAGACTCGAATGTCAACATACCTAAATAAACAAGGTCCCCCAGCTAGGTGCCCTTTTACCCTTTTTTGGTTGGGAGGGTTCCCCTACTAAAATAGACGACAGAAAAAAGTTGGTGCTCTTATTCCAACCTCTCTGCTGGAGGACCTAGCAAAAATTGCCTCTGCTTGGCTCCCCTTTTCGAGGGCGACCCAAACGTCCGAAGTGCGCCCGTCATTCGTTCCCAGAGCGTCCTCGAGAAGCACCAGAAGCTTTTGGCCTGCGGCCCAGAATAGCTTAGCCTTCCAAAGGCTCGGTTACTCTCAGAGTGTGTGGCTCCCAGCCATCCGGTTCCTTAGCCTTTTTAGCTTGTTAGTGTGTTTCCATTTAACCCGCAAAAAGTGAGGCCACTAAAAGTGAGGCACTTTTAGCGGGGGATCTGAGGGCAGCCCAGATAAGAGTGGGTGGGGCTCATCTTGGGAGTTGGCACGCCCTTTCAAAAAGAATACTGAAAAATCAGCGTGGGGTGGCCTATTGTGGCACATACCCGGCAAAAACAAAAGAGGGGTGTGGGGCAATTTGAAACCAGATTCAGGCTCGTAGGGCAATGGTGTGGATAGTTATTTCGACCCTTATTGCCCTTGTACTGGATTCTCGATATGTTGCCGGAAACACACTTTGAACAGACCCAACAAATGATGTTTAAAGCCACCCTGTTGTAGGCATGTGAAGTTGTGGACATCCTGAGTATTGTCCGTTGTGGGAGTTGCATGAATTGAGTATGGCATTCAAGAAAGCCGGAGATCCATTTGGGAGGTCTACCCCCAGACTCAAGGAGTGGCGATGAGAGTCCCAGAACCACCAAGAGCTCAGGAGGTCGGTGAATGGGCTCACCGATTGGGGGGGGGGGGAATGAGCAAAAACTCATGATGTACGTCCTATTCTTCGGGATTCCAAAAGTTTCAGGTTTTGTACTTGTTGTAAGTTTTGCTGATTTATAGGAATCGAGAGTCTTTCAGACCCCCTGTTGATCACCCAGGGAGGGGTGTCCCATGTTAGTCGTAATTCATTCCTTGGCGTTGACTGTCGAATGGGAAGCCAGAAAGGGGGGACATTAAAAATACATCTCCAGGTAAATTATTTCCACCGAAGAGACATGTTGAATTCGGGGTGTGAGGCTACCCTTTCCAGCCTTGGCCGCCGAAAGGAACACAAGTTCTGTTGGACAGAGGCCTGGAAGCCATCGGATGAGCCAGAGGAAAACCGTGGCAGCCCCAGCTGGGCATGTTTTCCGTTTGGTGTGTCACAATCCCAAAATCCACCAAGCAAGAGTGGCAATCTGCATTCGGGTGTAAAACGAGTTTATGATGTTTCTTGTTTTTTGTTGTTTTTTTGTTTTTACTTGGGGATTCATGTTTTTTTTGGGAAATACAACAGAATTCATTCTTTGCTGATTTTGGAAATACAAGTGAGTTTGTAGATCGATGAGGACGCTGCTATTTTATAATGGAGCATACCCTCTGATCGACCCAAATCCGTGTATTTTTGAAGGGTCAATTTTCAGTTGAAAGCCATACCAAATGTGTCAAAACAGAAGGACGCACAACATGGTGTCTCCGACTTTGGTTTCTTCTGGGGTCTCCTCCAAAACATGTTTTGGGTATAGGCCAAATACAAGACAGGAGTACAAATACTCTGGATGGACGAAATCCTGCTCCACGTTGAACGAATGGTTGAAACCAGAACGTTTTATAGGTATTCCCAGGATAATTATCAGAAACCAGGGTTTCTGATCGGTGGTGCCTAAGAGGATTGCGCAACCATCCACACTACATGGTTGTTGTTGGGACCCATTTTTGGTTGTGGTTTAGTGGTTGAAATCCAACCACTTAAGTGCTATTTTTGTTGAACAAAAAATGCGTCCCTTCCAAGGTCAACCAGGGCTATGATTGGCCCTTGACTCGGGCCAATCACCCGCTGGCCGCCTGAATGGTTCGCAGAACCCCCTCTGAGACCACCTTCTAAGGTAAGAAGCTTTCGGACTTGGGCTTTTAATCTTATTGGTTTTTGTTTTTGGTTTCCCTTTAAATGACCAAAGGGTCTGTTTACAGTATGGTTGTTTTGTTCTTGCTGGTGTTTTTTGTTTTTTTTGGTGTACCCCAGATGTCCTTAAGTGGCACGCAGCTGGTTTTTTCAGGCTCTGCCACAGAGGAGGCCAATGGCAAGGCGCTCATCGAGGACACTGAGCCGCCCTTCGGGCGAAAGCGGGTTCTTTGAAGGTGTTTGAAGAGGTTGGCCCAACTCTGAAATGATCTTCAGTGTAGACTAGTTATTCCATGTCTCTCTTCCAAGTGGAGGGTCCAATCCAAATCCATAGTCTTGACACCTTGCGGGCCGAAGCTCGCCGCACCAGCTCGGCAAATGATAGTTTGTTTTTTGTTGGGGGGGGGTTGGGGTTGGGGGGAGGAGGATCCCTCAAATCAGCAAGCGCCAATGACTCGGAAAGGGTTCCACAACGGACCGCGGTGACCGCACAGTGTTGCATCAATTGCCTCATACAAGCAGATCTACTTTCAGCCAGCACAGAAGCTGCGGTTTGGGTGAGTCCCAAACAAATGAGTTGTCGGTTTCCCTTTTGGATTGAGCCCGGCGGCCCGACCCCTGTGGAAGCATGTTTAAAAGGCCTATATTTGAGCAAAGTTTCCGTTCAGGGTTTTTGTCCGCCAATTTGCATGGTTAACCCCCCTGCCGAAAAATTGTTCACCCCTCCATTGTTGAAGCCTCCTTTGGGTTGATTAGTCGTTGTTTGTTCTTCCGCCGATGCCAAATCCATCCCTATATTTGCCCCTTAAGCGTCACACCAAGACGAGGCTCATCTAAAAGTGGCAACCAAAAGGTGATCTTGCTTGTGCGATAGGTAGGGAATGAGAAATGGAATGAACCCAGGGCCCTTAAAGGAACCCAGCAGTTGGATGCTTTCATGCGGGGGCATTCCCTCACTCAGGCTTTGGTCCCCAAGGAAACTCCCATCGGGAGGTTTTGGTGGGTCATTCCATTCCTTCCCTGCCTCTCTCGCAGCTATCGTGATACGGGCTGAAGGGCCCCAAGTTACGGGCTGAAGGAAAGACACAGAAGGGTGTCCTTTTTGGGGTTCTTTGCAAGAAGCAAAGGTCCTACAGCCAGGTGACCTGGTTGGTTGATTGGGAGATACGTTTTGGTTGATTTGGTTGAACAAAAGGACGATTCCTGGTTTTTACCTGGTGGTTCAATCAACTTCCAGGGAAATCCATCCTATTTTTCAACAAGACAGGACCATCTATGGAAAGTTGAGTGACCGGATGGACGGGTGGGGGCTACAACTGAAGCCATTTTCAGGAGATGGCCATCCAGCGGGACTTGCTCTTCCGCAAGAAGGAGATCGCCACGGCGTCCCTTGGCGAAAAATTAGGTGCCCGACCTCTCACCCAACTTTTTTGGTTGGGAGGCTTCCCCTACTAAAATAGACGTGCTGAAAAAAGTGGGTAGCCTTCCTGTAACCTCTCTACTGAGGACCTAATGTCATTCCTTGGCCCATGGAATGATCGCCATTGCCAGAGAATCCTTTGGGTTCAAAAGTTCGGTTGTTTGCTTCTTGAGTTTTTTGGAGTTACCCTTTTGCTAGGACAAGGACACATCCAAAATCCATGGGTCCAATTCCCTTGACACATGCCTTGGAGCCGGCAAGACTTGCCTGTGGGCTGACGGACTAGGGCATCTCACCTCAAGGTTCTCAAGTTGGAACCATGCAGCGAGGTAACATGAGCCACTTGCTCAAAGCCCGGGTAAATGATCCGGTTAGTAAGGGGCAGTCCCAGCCACAAATAGCTGCAGAAAAAGAAGAAAAAAGACGCCTTCCTAATTATTGAAGCATGGTTTTGGGTCGACCATTTTAATACCAGGTTGTGATTGTCACTCATTTGGAGTGATGCGAAAAGCGCCGAGGCTGGCGATGTTTTTAGGGCCAAGTGAATGGTGGGCCTCAAATCCCTACGCGTCTGGCAAGTTCTATGACGTTGAACGGTTGAAAGTTAGTTCTACATTGGGTTTTGCCCAATGTCACTTTGGATCCGGAAGGAACGAGCGGTCGAAATACATTGATTGGTTTTGGCGAAATGGCCAAGCCATTTGAAATAATGCTAGGACCCAAAGCCAGCGCGCCTACTACAAAATGACTTTGGATTTCAACGAAAAAGGCTCCCTCGAAATCAGGGAGCCATTTTGGGGTTGAGTTGTCGGTGTAATCACCCTCGTTTGTAGACTCATGTACCGATCCCAATGCGATACTATGGAATGGTTGTGCCAAGTCCACCCCCTGAAGACGGGGATGGATTTGGAAGATTTCTTTAGGTATATTGCTCAGGGTAATCGAGTTTGCGTAAAGCTTGAAGTCAATGTGATTGGCCCCACAATCCGCATAGCGGGCCCCTTGTTATACATGTCCCGTGGTTCCCCTAAAACAACATGGCTGGTGTCAAAACCGTTTTGGGATCCCATTTTGGTTGGTAGGTGAATTCACCACCCATTTTAGGCTTCCTATTGTTGTGGTTGGATTGGTTGATGTTCACTCATGGCCACCTATCTACATATATAACCTTGTGGGTCGACTGTAGAACCTATTTTAGAACCTATTTATGTGGTTGGATTGAATCGGATGTTCTCTCGGGGATAACCGATTTGGATTTTGACCCATGGTCACAGGTAGAATCAGCAGCTCACGGGCTCAACGTGCCAGGGCAGCCGAGCAGACGAAGCGCGAGTGCACACAGGATGTGCGCAAGCTAACGTGTGGAGCTCGAGTTTGATTTCAAGGCAGCTATGCCTATCCTCGGTTGTAGAGTGGACTTCAGGCAGAGAGAACATCAATCTAGAGAAAATCTAGATGGTTTGACAAAGTTGTCAGAATCGGGTTTGCTTGCACGATGGTGTCATCCGATTGCAGGCATATCATGCTGCGGTTGCCCAAAGCTAATCGCTTACTCAGGTCTGAAAATGCTCAGCTGATTGCAGAGATGAACACACTCCGCTCGGAGAACCGGTGCGCCCACGCATGGTGTCATATCGGGCAGCAGAGCGTTCGTTCCTCTTCGTGGTTTTTGATGCAAGCATTTGAGCGTCAGGTCCTACCAGAGAAGTTGTAGAGAAATGGAGGCCGGAAGCACTGCAGCAGAGCGCAAGTACAGCCGAGATATGACATTTACTGCCATGGTTGTACATTGTTTGAATCAATGGTCAGTGTCTGTTGAAGGAAACCCTTCAAGCGTAATGAAAGCAATCAAGTGGATGGCATTGGTAATATATGTCCACAACCATGCTCACTGCAAGAGATGAGCAGAGTGAGGAGCGATCAGCATGCTGGTTGCCATTCACAGGCCAATATCATGGCCTTGCGTGCAAAGACTGGGATGAGAGGCGCGGTTTGTTTTGGATAGCCATGGGTCTGCTTTGCATGAGACGGTTAACGGGGGTGGCCACCTAACTGTCCACATTTGGGGAAGCGTTGGTCATGTTGATAGTGTTTAACAGAAATATGCCAACAAAAGTGCTGTGTTTCCTGTTGGTTTTGCTTCTACCCTGGAAATGGTGTTTGTCCATGTTTCCCTTTCACCCTACCCGGGCATGTCGAAGTATCCAAAAGATTGTGTTGCCATTGCTTGCCCTACCCAAGCCTAACAGAGCGACACTGAAAATGTGTGAAAACAACGAAACACCCAATGTGGCAATCCCTTTGGCTTCCCTTGAAACTTGAACCCAAAATTGGTTAGCAAACCAAGCCTAAGAGGCTGGGCGCATTTTCAGAAAGGCTCAAGTCCGGCTTCAGGCGGACTGCAGGCAGCCTCTGCACCAGATTTAGGGCAGGCCAGAGCCTCGAGTCGAAAAACCCCTGGCCATCCAAGGAGTTCGAGGAACCCTTGTTGCAAGGGATAGCAATGAACCGCGATGAGCCACGTGCTCAAAGCCCGGGTCGATGAACATTAGTAAGGGATACTCCCAACCAGAAATAGCTGCGGATATGCGCCTTCTCAATTCTTTACATGGTTCTGGTTTGACCATGTTGATACCGGATTTTGATTACGACTCAGGCGGTGGTTAAGACAACCTTTTAGTATTCGGATTCCTATGCATGGAGAAACTCCACCGGTTGGGATGCATGATACCTGATACCCTAGAAATAGGGGACAAACCACGTACCAGCTTGTGCGGGATTTTGTCCCTCACAGTATTGCCATTCTAGTAGCTGGGTCAACCAAGGCCATCACATGTCTCTCACCAAATGCCGGGAGAGACACTGTTTCACCCAAGAAGTGTGGAGTAGCTGGCTCAACAACAGCTAGTTTAAGGACGCCAGTTCCAGCCCAAAGTTGGTCTGGATATCCGCCCTCGTGATTCCTTGACATGCAGTGCCAGGTTTTCATTGTAGCTCATTTCATGTTACTCCCCCTGCAATTTTACCGGGATCCCAAAAGGTGGACCCCCCAATAAAAGGAGGTTCCTCTAGTAGCGATGTTTTTTGGAATTTGCAGAGCTGAAATTCCGCCGTCTGCGGAGATGATGCATGAAGCAGGATCTTGACGATCTCATTCTTGATGTTCAAAAAAACTCCATTGGGACCAGCGGCACACGCAGAAACAGCTTCGGCTCGCACACAGCGCGAGCCCGCCACGCCGCCGGGCGCGGCGCGCGGCGCGCGGCGCGCGGCGCGCGGCGCGCGTGGCTTCTGAGGCCAAAAACCGGGTGCCGCCCAATGGCAGGCCGCTGGCCAGCTCCGAGACGCCGTGGGGGGGCACAGATTTCACAGAACGCAGACCTGGGCTTCAGATTCACGTGGCTCTACCTGGTAAAAGGTGCCTATGCACACCACGTGTTTTTTTTAATGGTTGAAAGGGATGGGCTTCAGATTTCAAGTGGTTCTACCTGGTACGGTGCCTATGTAAAGCTTCATAACCACGTGTTTTTATGGTCGAAAGTCCCCTTTGCTTGGGGTTGGGGATGGTCATGGACCATTTGCAGGGCTTTTAGACTCCATGTCAATCTGGGCCATCAATGGTTTGCTCGATTATCGCGTTTAAGCAGCAAAAAGGTTTCGTCACTTTTTGCAGACCTAAGTTAGGCCACAAGATGGTCTCTAGACGGTGTAAAAACTGATGTGTGGAGCAAGAGTTCCCAGGTGAGCCTCGCTGAACCTCACTGAACCTTTCTGAACCTCACTCAACATGCTTGAAATGTTTGTTTGTATCATACGCTCTTTGTGTGAGTTGTGTTCCATGCTTGGCCGTTGCAAGGTACGTCAGGCGGAAAGTTGTGGATCAGCAGGCTAGAGCTTCCCACTGTGCATGTGGCTTGAGACGCAGCCAGCAGGCACACTGCAACACGCTGCATTTGTCTCAGTATGCTTACTTGCCCAAAGCCGACCTTTTGACCTTTTAGTTTTCCGGGTATGGTCTATTTTTAGCCATGACTCCAAAAGGTTAACCTTTTATTTTCAGGTCCTTTGGGCAAGTGAGTATGCGTGTATGTGTCATGTTCTCCAGGAGAAGTACCGGAGACAGCAGGTGAAGGGAACGCATCAGTCCGCTTCTCAAAGAGGAGCATCCATCGCGGATGAAGACAGGCCTTGTGAGTTGAGAGACCAAACGCGACCCAAGGCTGCCTCCGATTGTTCAGCGCAGCAGCAGCCCTGTGTCTGATCCTCGGAAGACATAGGACTTTGGTTTGTTTGGCAGATTCCATCCGCGAAATGTGTGGCTGTTTTGAGGGTACCTGTTTGGGGTGCCCAAATAGAACGAATGGGAAAGCCATATTTGTTCCCCATTTAATTACTCTGAAGCCATCAACCGCAGGTCACACAGACTCGGCAATGCAGAGGCTGGATGCGTTCATGGCATCGTTTCCATAAAAAAAAAAGCGCGAACGCGGGGGGCCAAACGAATCTCCGAGGAAGTACGCTTTGAGCATGCAATGGAGTGCGGCGCCCAGTCTTTGAGCATTTTGAGCCTGCGCTTCCAGAAATCCAACCAGCGGAATTAGGATCTTTGGGGGGGTAGCAGGGGCCGGGGGGTCCAGAAAGAAGTGATTTGAGGGCCCCACAAATCCAGAAATCCCAGGGGGGGCACTCAGAGATGAAGCAAGCTGGTGGTTCGGGGGCTCGCAGGTCCTTCCAAGCTGAAACTCAGCATTTCGAGGAGCAAGGCATTGAGGTTAGCCGCTTGGCAGCAAAGGCTGAAAGTCGAGAACCCGAAAATCAAGAAAGGGATTGGTCTTACAAGGCTCCTTTCATTTTGAAAGTGGCGGGTTCACAAGCAAACCAAGAGGAAACCACACCATGCCCAGATGGCTTATGTCAAGAGCAGCCTGGGCCTGGGCGGTGTTTCTCCAATTTGGGAGACCTTTGTGTGTGACATAGGGAAATCAAAAAAGGAAGATCCCCGCGTTTCCTGTTTAAGCAATGAGATCAGGAAGAAAACGTACCACGTCCATTTCAAAGACATGTCTGTGTGTTTCTCAGATTTTGGGGACCTCCTTTGGTATGAAAGGGAAATCAACACGTTGGAGGTCCACAAAGTTTCGTTTTTGAGGCCGGCTCCACGAAACTGCGGCCGGCATCTCAGTGAGGTGTTTGCCCAATCTCGGTTTGTCTCGCCTGAGGGAACCCAACCTTTTGGCTGGTTTTAGCTGCAAACCAAAAGGAAGCATATCATTTTTGGCCCCTAATCTAGAGACGAACCCATATTCGGGTTCGTCTTTAAATGAGCAACAGCCAAGCTCTTTGTTTGGGGAAGCCGAGAAACGGGGCCAGGGGCCGGAAATTTCAATCACACACCCATAGGTTGGTCTGGGCCTCCGATTGGGCGACCGGTAAAATAGACGCAACTCCCTTTGGAATCATCTCAACCGGGGTGCGCTCAACCCAACCCTAGGAGGTTGGTTTCCCTTTACCATCCGCCAAAACAAAAGACAGAACAACTATGTTGAGACGCCCACAAAGTGCGGGCAGAAACATGGACCCATTCGACCATGGTGTTTTCCGGAGTTCCTCCCTCACCCAGCATGCTCTTGGGGCGTCCAAGAAGCCCAAATATGGGGGGCCAGAAAAGTTTCCGAAGGGCACGCATCTTTGGTTTGATGCCCTCGCATTGGCCAAAGATTCTCCAGTTCAGGCGGTTATCGCCCAAGCTCCAACGGAAGCAGAGGCGGGACGGTTGGAGAGCCATTTTTGCCAGTTCAGCCCAGAGGTAGCCAGGCACCAGCTGAATTGTTGGGTGCTTTTTTTTTCCAGTATTCAGAGAATTGCATTCAGCGCAACTGCAGGATGTTGTTTTTAATCCGCAGTAGGGCACTGAAGTAGAGTTGCACGTGGGAACATGTTACTCAGCTGCAAGGCCGGCGATGGCCCATCAACTTGAGACTGGGTCCCTTGCAAGAGAGTGGCCGCACGTGGCCAATGACGGCAGCAGTATGCCTCACTCCAGACTTTGTTTGCTTGCGTGATCGTGCAGCCTTCTTTTGCAACGGTCTTGGTTGGAGCATGGTCTCACCAAGCGAAGTTCCACGCATAATTAACAAGGTTTCACCATCGAAGGCCTTGCGGTGTGTTTCCGCGCTTTCTGTGTGTTCTGTTGAATCAAATTGCAGTCTTCTGAGAAATGTCGCTGCAAGGACTTGGTTTCACCTGATTTCACTGATTAAAAATTCAGCGCCCTTGTGAGTGAGCATGCGGACATGGCAGCACTCATGCTTGTTGAACGCAATGAATCGATCCGACGGCACCATTGGGCTCGATCCGAAAAGTTCCCGGCATTTGGACGATGCCAACCTTACCCCCCACCTTATTGGTCTGAACTTCAGACCCCGTTCGAGGCATGCCATATGCCATTCGAGCCTCGGCATTCATAGACTACCATGGCCATGGCCCTGAGGCTTTCCTTACATTTGCTGAAAGAAGCTTTCTATTTTCCTCTGTTTGGTTTTAAAGGGAATCTATCACTACTGGAAATAGTTTAACAACAACAAAAACAGGGGACTTAAGCAAATGGAGGCTTCTCTCGGAAGCCCTCGTATTGTCTGAGGTTTCCTGTGGGGGTCCATCTCCATCCTCAGCGTGTGCGAGTTAGCAGGTCTTTTGACCATGGCTCGTTTGCATGTTCACGTGTGGCTGTGGGTCAAAACCAATGGTACCTTTTTGGGGTAGGTGCACCACCCATTTTTGTCTATTTTAGTGGGAATTGGGATTTTCACTGGGGGTACGGGATTTTGACCCATGGCCATGTGAGCCACCTATCCGCGGATATCCGTCCGTGTGTTTTCCTGTAGGTCTCTTAAGGTTTGATTGTAGATCATGTGGCTGTGACTTGTTCTGGTTGGAATTAGATAAAACACGGTTGGACGCAAATCCCCATGTATGTTTGATGTCCACTAGCCACCAAGTGCCAAGTCCCTAATTCCAATTTAAGTCATTATCATGTGAGCAACCGAGCAAAATTGCTGGGTAGGCAGCTATTGTCAATACGGACCAAGATCTTCCGGTGGTGCCGCTTCAGCCGACTGGGGCATGTGCGCAAAATTCCGGAGCCACTCGCTGCGGCCGCTACCAAGACTGGTGTCGGGCTGGCGCCGCGCCCTGGCCTGTTTGCGAAAGGTGACATCCGCTGCTGCTTTTCTTCCAGCGTCTTTCGCTGCCGCGACGCCTCGCCGGCGAACACGGGCGCTTAAGCCATGAAATCTAGCAAACACCATGCTCACGGAGTTGGCGCCATCTTGCAAAAAGAGCCGATGTCGATGTTGGACTTCACAGCGTCCGAACGTGGAACAACTTCCTCGTTGCAGGCCTGCGTCGTTGCTCGCCTCGGGCTAAGCGCCAGAGGTGTCATGACCGCATCTCCCATCTTCCTGCACTGCACGAGCACCAGACCGAAAGGAACGCCACGTGGCGTAACCGTCACCACCCTCGTTCGCAACACAATGCCAGCTGAGGCTTCTCTCGATCGTTGCGCAAAACACCATGCTCACTGTGTCCGTTTCAACTGCCACTGCGAGCACTCCCGGCTTGCTATGCTTGTTGTGTTTTTCAATAAGCTGCTTTCAAAAAGTTGTCAGGTCATTGGAACGCACCCGCCAAGGTGATGCATTGACGTTGGCTCCGGTTGCGTATCGTGCGTAGAGGCAATTGGCTGTCACTGGCCGCTCGTGTTCTCTTTCGTCGTTCTTGCGGGGCGCGCAGCGGCGTGCGCCTTTGCGGCGCATGCTTCGTGGCCTTTGGGAAGTCGCGCAGAACATCCCGCCGTCGCGATCAGCTGAGGCGAAGCCAAGAAAGGAAGAAGTCTTGTCTGGGCAGAACGACAAGGGGCCGACCCGGAAACTCGGAGACCCCGGGCCCAGTTTTGTTTTGCCCGGTGGAAACTAGCTGTTTTTGCGCAGGGCTCGTGTTTGGAAGCGGCTTCGCTCAGGAAGGCTGACGTTTTTCAGCCTCAGCCTCGTCATTGGGGGGGCCAGCGAGGAGTGCGGGAAGGCCATGATCAAGATGTCCATCCAATCCAGTTTAATGTTGACCCAGGATTAATAAGCCCGTTTCATTATTAGGGGGTGTTCCCTCCAAAAGTGATGAATCCACCACCAAAGGGGGACACCCCCCTATTAATCAACAAGTTGTTTTTTTTTACATCCGGGGTTAACATTATGGTCAACTGAGCATCGCCTAGAGCCTGAATCTACAGGTTTTGTAGCTGGTTCCTCCACGTTCATCGGAGTTACAGTGAGGGTTGCACATGTTGATAGAACCAGCAGTCAATGGCTGTTCTGCGTGGCCTGAGCCAGGATTCCAACTTTTCCATTAAGAGAACCACGGGACGAACTCGAATCTTGCCAGGCCACGAGCCGCACACAGCAATTGTGTGGCTCATATGAGCAGATGTCTTAATGGCTCACGTGTTCCTGGCATGGCTTTAAGCCGCTTCAGAAAGGTCTCCAGGAAGCTGACCCAAAAGGCGAACCATATTGTTCGAAGTCCAAAACGAAGCTTCCAAAAGGAGTGGTTCTCCGTTTTTCCCTTGCATTGTTGTTGTTGGGAAACATTTTACATTTTGCTAGTTGTGGTTTAGTGGGAAATACCCACTTAATTTCGAAAATTTAATTGTTTGCTCCCCTGCCAAAGTCAACCAAGCTTGGGTCGGAATCCTTTCTCAAGTCTCAGAGTCGCCCCCGTCAGCCGCAGAATGCCACTTCCGCTGCTCTGCTGCAGCATTCCACGAAGCGAACGCAGATAGAGGCGCCGATGTCGAAGGGCCGCGGTTTTCGGCTTTGGCGTGTCACCGAAGCGACCAAACCGCAAGGGAGTTGAAGTTGACGTGTTGCCATAGTGATGAAGCGTTTAAAAAAAAGAAAGACAAAAGAACAAGTTAAACGTTTTTGAGGGAAGCTTTTTGGGCATGATAAATTGGTTTTGTGTGCTTGGGGTTCCCTCTGCCAGAAGGCAAATGTCTGGCCTGGTGTTAGGGCTTTGGGGCTGGCAGGTGCTTTTGATCAGGGCATGTTTTTGGGGATTGGTGGTTTGGAGGTTTGTCAATGAGGAAAGAAAGCCGAGAGAAGAGCATCAAGTGCACAGACCCCTGCAGAAAGACGACTTTCCTCTTGGTTAGTTGGCCTTTTTGCACCATGTAAGTTGGTGAGAGGGTATATGATGTTTCAAGCAAGTGGTGAAGAATAATTCCCCCTTCAGAATGACTTGCACCACAAGCTTCATGTCCGGCAGGTGCAGCCAAAGGCGAGCTGCAACATGGCAGCGGCCCGAGCACTGTGAGGGAACGAAACCAAACCCGTTTTCGCCATGTGAGTAGGTGGTTCTACTACCCTCCCACCAACTAACATGGAAGTGCGATAAGCCCCTTTCCAAGAGGAAAGTCGTCTTTCTACAGGGGTCTATGCATTTCCATGTTAGTTGGTGGGAGCTGATGTAATGTGAGTTATAGTAAGGCCAATACAAGCCTCAACAATCAATAGTGAATGGGTTTTGGGGCGCTGCCAATGTATGGATTCTACAAGCATAGTAATAAAGGTTTATACGGGCCTTACTAGAAACTCAGACCCCTATGAGGGCCAGGTAGTACAAACACGTACCAAAAATGTCCTCTTTGGGATTTGGGTGTTGGCTCCGTGGAAAACTTCCCTGGAAGGGTCCTTCGGGACTCCCGACACAGCTTAAAAAAAATGGGGGGGGGGGGGTTCTTCATCTTGACACCTTCATGTGGTCCTTCACTTTGTGGCGCTGCGGATTCGATTCTAGATTTAGTTTTGATGTTTCACTGCTCTGTGGCTGAAAATTACACCACCAGGGGTTACGCAGGTTTTGGTCCATGTTTCCACTTCCCAGGGTTCCATTTTTGAATTCCGGTTTTTTGAGCCACAGCCACATGAGCGCAGCACGGTTCAGGTGCCATACTACGCTTGCGCGGTTGCAACTGGGATCTATGCTGTCAGCCTCTTCTCATTGCACAGATGGAGTGCTGCAGAAAGCTCCTTGGCATCCTGTTCCAGAGTTCCTTTTGAAAGTCCCCAAGCATCGCCCCTCCAAAAGGATACCAGTTGTTCCTTGGTGGCTCCCAGTCATCCCCTTAGTTTAGTGGTAGGTTCCATTTAAGCCACTAAAAGTTAAACGTTAGTGAGGATCTGAGGGCAGCCCAGGTTCAAATGACCCACAACATCTAAGGACCCTTGTGTTTTACGCGCGCGTTTACCTTACGCTTTTGAAGCTTTGAGGCGCGCCGAAACAAAGCGGGGCTCGCGACCCACATGTTGACAACGCGAAGTTCCTGGGAAGCTGAGTCGCACTTGGCGCAAAGCTCAGCCATAGGAACTCTATGAGTTGGTGATTGATGGGTACGTAAAAGGAACTGTCCTTTCGTGGTTTGGTGTCTAGCCAGTGTAGACTGCGCAACATGGCGTTATTGCACAAGGCGTTATTGCCATACGGCTGTGGGTCAAAACCAATGGTACCTTTTTGGGGTAGGTGCACCACTTATGTTAGTTTTGTTTAGTGGGATTGGGATGTTCACTGGGGACGGGCTTTGGACCCATGGCCTTACATCTGACTCGATGTAAGGAATGGTCCTCGTGTGCTGGTCACACATCGGCAGATGGAAGGTCTTGGAGTACAGTGGCCTCACCTCAGAGTTTGTGATTTGGCGCCTTCACAGAAGCATAGGTGTCCCTTTTAGATGAGCCTGGTTAAAAATAGATGGTGTCCACTGCTTAAGTTGGGTTTTGTTCCATTTTCTAGGGCCATCTATTTGTTCAAAAGGCCACCTATGCGCAGAAGCGAATTCGCCCAAAAGCGCGCGAAGGATTCACCAAAATTCTTGCAACCCAACTCTCAGTTGTTGAGTGGCACCCTTGTTCCCCTTTTTTTGGTGGCTGTCCAGCTAAAAATGGTCTTCCAAAAAAAGGGTTCCTTTTTTTGCCAGGGTCACTGAACAACTGAGAACTTGATTCACGTGAGTATTGAACATCTCTCATTTCCCAGAAGCAACGTTCTGTCAGAGGCCCTGGAGCGCTCTGGCGGCCTTCTCCAAACAGAGTTGCCCCCTCCGCAACTAGTGCAACCAGTCCAGTAACACGTCGGCGAGCTTTCCACAGGAATTGAGTGCCCGAGGTTCCACATGCCGATGTATGTGTTCCTCTCAGGTAGCTTCGTGCGACCAGCATCATGGCAGACCTTCCTCAAGATCTTAGTGCTGATTCTTTTCCCGCCCTTTGTGCCAGACTTTGGCAGACTTTTGCCTCACCTTTTTGTGCAAAAGGCCCGATTGAAATCACCATGAATCACCGATTCTTTCGTTTTCCAAATTTGCACAGACCGGTCTGTGACCTTTTGCGTTCAGAGGGTGTTTTGGGTGTCCTTCATTCTCAAGCAGTTGGGTATGTGTCAACGGGCCCGCAAGACTGCTTTTCCTGCTGGTTTCTCTCAGACCAACCCCAAAATGGGGCTCCCTTTGAGACAGACCCAGTCACGTGGCCGAGTAGGATCCGTCCCTTCGAACCAACCTCAATCGGGACCCTGAAAACACACCCCCACACAAATTGAGATGCCCCTTTTGTTTCCCTTTCTCCTTTTCAATCAACCCCGAAACATTGTTACTAACAAAACACGTGCAAAAGATTGTGTGTTCCCTCTTGGTTTTCCTCCAGACGAACCTCAAAAAGCGGGAACCTAAAAGCACAAGAACTACACTCCCTCCCACTAACATGGCACCTGACAGAGGGTCCAGGACACTCCCACAGATGCTATGTTAGTGGGAGGAAGGGTATGTGTTCCCTATTGGTTTCCTGTTAAACGAATCCAAAAAGGGCCGGGTGTCCTGAAAAAGAACAACAAGATCGTGTCCTTTTTGGTGTCCCTTTAAACCAACCCCAAAAGGGGGACGCAAAAGACATGTTGTCCTTTTTGGCTTTCCTTTGAACCCATCCAAACAGGGACCCCAAAAGCGGTAAATGACCGGTTTTCATTTACACCAAAAGGCGGGGACCCACACAAAATCAACCTCGAGCGTCACTTTGAAGGGCCCGAGTCGGATCTCCTTCCGTCCATATGGCAGTGGCTCCAAAAAATGCGTACCCAAAATGGCACCTTGGTAAATGGAACCAAAGACTAGAGCCACACCCAAATGGCCATGGGTCAAAATCCAAATCGTACCCTCAGTGAACATCCCAATCCCCACTAAAATACGTACCAACAAATGGGTGTTCAATTTACCTACCAACCAAAATGGGATCCCAAAACGGTTTTGACGCACAGCCAAATTGGCAAAAACCCACCCGCACTGCGTCCATTTGGTGCCCAATTCGAGGCTGGTGGCCTTTTGTCTGCTGATCTTCCCGCTGGAGCGAGTGATGCTGGACATGGAGCTGAAGCATTTGTGGCTGCCGGGCGCGGCGCCGTACTTCGAAGGCCGGAAAATCGCCTTCGGTCGGATAGATGTGTTTTCTTTTCGAGACACCACACTTTATTACCCACTGTGCGAGGTTGTGTTTTTTCTTTTTCGAGACACCAAGCTTTAGTTCCCACTTTTCCTTTCGGTTGCGAATCAACTGGTTGGGGTACCTGTGCGGCTTCCTTTGGGAAGAGATGGAGCGTCAATTCGGTAGGATCCGAGGCACTCGTTGCTCGGTGAGTTGCAAAGGGGGAAACACCCATTTGGCGAGGTTCCCCTCGCGTTTGAGGGTCAAAGGTAATGTTGCATGGAGGGGCCATCATGATCTGCCCATACGAAAGGTACCAACAGGAATGTACGATAATGTATGGGAGTTTCTTGCAACAGGGGAACGCCCCCCAAAAAAACAAAACAAGAAACACAGGAAGCCCGTTTTCCGTTGGTTTCCCTCTACAGCCGCTCCAAAAGGGGGGGAGGGGGTCCCTCAAAGCAGACACCCGCATATGTGTAACGAAGAAGGAAGATTTCGGAACCTTCGTAACGAGCGCGAGGCTCCGTGTTCCACCTGCTCATGGGATCCGGGCCTGGCTGGTTCATTTGGTTTCTCCGCTGCCTATTGATTTGGAAGCTGGCCAGCATGTTTACAGTGTCTCTCCCGAAGGCGGCCCAGGCCAGCAAGAGCAAGAGATACTGTGGATGGACGAAATCCTGCACCACCTAAGAAACCTTGGAATGAATGATTCCCCTGTAAATACCAACAAACAATGGCTTCCCATGGTTTCAAAGTGGTGCAGGATTTCGTCCATCCACAGTATTACGAGAGAGAGAGAGAGAGAGACAGAGAGAGGGAGAGAGGGGGGGGGGGGATCAGGTACGCCGTGGTTTGGGTGCCTTTTGTATCCCACTTCCTTTTGAGTCTGGCGACCTGAAAATCCTTTGAGTCTGGCGACTTGGGGAATATCCAAACCAATCCAGGCCATCATGGGGTAAGGTGAGCGAGAGAGAGAGAGCGCGCGTGAGCTGGCATCGGAAAAACACTGTGTCCATGCTGAGATTGCTTTGGGTATCCTATCTGGACTTGCGGGCGTTTACTGCCATCCAGAAGGGAACACATGGAGCTACGGTCTCTTTGCTTACCAGCCTTGACCTCAGATCGCAGTGGCAGGAATCAACCAACCTCAAGTCATCTTCAAATTGGGATCCAGTTTGAACAAAAAAGTCGTCCCTGGAATGCCTTGTAGATTCTTGAAGCAGTTGAGAGGCTTTGTTTGCAGTTTGAAGATAACGCCGTTTCTGGTCATTGCCTTATCCTGAGTCAGAGCACTTGGGCACTAAGGCGAGCACTGCAGATGTTCCCATTCTTTCTCATGGGCCAGCTTTTGGCCGCGTCCTCAGGCGTTCCTGTTCACTGCTTTCGCCGGGCCTGGTGAGCGTCTTCTTTGCAATAAACAAGTTATAGCGAAAATTAGTCGGCGATCTGCGAAGGATACCAGTCGGCTTATGAAAGCTGTCCCTCCACCTTCGACTTTGACGATGGCATCCACTTGGCTTCTGCTTTTCAGCCTGCTCCTGATCTAAAAGTGGAAATTGAAATAGGCACAACTCTTGGCGCTTGTGACAGAGACAGTTTCTCTCATTTGAGCCGTGAGATCTACATGTGAGGCTCTATTTGGAAAATCATTCTTCGATTTGGAGCAATTTGACAGATGATCTATTCCACCTGCTTGATAGCTATCCTGCGCCGTTCATGACGCTCTGCTGCCTTGAGCTTGAGTTTTGAATTTGCACGACAAGCAATGGGCACAACTCTGTGTGTGTGTGAGTCTATGTGTATTTGTGTCTTTGTGTGTGTGTGTGTGTGTTTGGATTTGTGTGTCTATGTGCGGGTGTTTGTGGGTGTGAGTGAGTTGGGTCTGTATGTGAGTATACATAATATATATATATATGTTAAAGTGGAACTAACTGTGTAAACACCTGATGGCCTAAGTGTGTCAAACCTGTGATGTGTCAGCGCGGCACTTGTTGTCACTGCGGGCGATGGCTGTAGGCTCTATCATGTAGATAGGCTCAAGGCCTTGATGTACAAAGGCCAGGGTCATGTACAAGGATGGATGTACATCAACACCCTCCTCAAATTGTGCTATCTTAGCACACTTTGCCAAAATCTACAAGTGTCCTTGTGGATGATGTAAGAAACCACTGCATGTAAACTGATAGCCAGAAAGCAGATGTAGCTGTACATCGATGTCCCTTGCTGCCGGATCAATTGTACCACGAATTACGGTGTGCCATTGTGGCAAAATGTACTTGATGTACTCAAGTGCTGTCGGCCCATGATCTTCTTTTTGTCGAGCAGCTTGTATCCTTGATGTTGTGACAAAATCATGGCGCTGTCAACCTCCTGCAAGCGTTGGTCGCTGTACCCAATCTGTCGGGGATCAGGTCCGTGCTGTTTCCCATCAGCTGTACTCCATGTTGGACAATGTACTCGATGACCATTGTCTTCAAAGGCTCCGAGATGGTCTGTACTGCAAGGTATGTATGATGGCTCAAAGCCATCGAGAAACCTGCATGGATCCCGTCGAGGGGATCCTTTGTGTTCAGTACCTTCTCAATGGGGATAATGATGCGCTGAAGGATGATGTAGTCCTTGGCCAAATTGTAACTCTCGTACCGGTTGGCGATGTGCCCTGTGAGCTTGTAGAAAATCCCAAACACCCGTTCTGTAGGTGTCAGGTGTTCCCGCCGTTGAAGACTGTAATCCTCTTCTCATAAACCTTCTGAAGTCTGCAGGCTGAGCTTGTACACAAAGAATGTGCCCAAGTCAACTGTACTGTCATGGCCCTTGTGTATCAACCAGCTGATGTAGCCAATGCAGTCCATGATGCTGTACAACATACCGACAAAACTCAATGTAGGGCATCGCATGTAGCCGGGGTCTGTTGCACCTGACCCTGCTCCGTTGTAGCCGTCATGAAGTTGTACTGCTCCATTGTAAGTGGGATCAACACCGTGGTGTAATCCTGAGGTTCTCCGGTGTTGTAGGAACGATGACATCCACCGCGCCCAATGTAAGTCCGTCTGGAACCATCATCTGTGGATGCAAGGTCTTGTACGCGCGATGTGCCATTGATGTAAAAGCCGAGTGTCTAAGGTTCCTGTAGACCTCAAAATGTAAATGGCTGCAGCATGTGCCAAAACATTGTTTGAGACATGTGCAAACTCACATGCAAATGTAGCTCCCAAAAGATGTTGGGGAAAAGATGTAGTGGTCATAAAGACAGGGTCGATCCATGGCTGATGCATCTACCCTAAAAGATTGTAACTACGCCGGCTGTTAGGTGGTAAAACAAACGTGTGTGAACTGTGCACCTGTTGTTTAACAACCTGTGCTGACTACTGCGCTTACTGGTGTGAAACTGTAGCGGTGTGACCTTACAGGCCAACGTTGTACAGGTGTTTGTTGAGTGCGTCGCTGCCAACAAACTTGGTAAGAATGTCGGCTGTGTTGTCTTCTGACTTTACCTTGTGCGTGGTGATGATTTTGCTTTTGACAAGTTGTTGTATGAAGAGGTGTCGCAGCTCGATGTGTTTTGCTTTCTTTGATGTACCTTCTCTCATTGCTATTGATTTTGCTGCGCTGCTGTCTGTGTGTATCCTGATGTTGGTGCGTACTTCAAATGCTTCCTTGATGAAGTTGCTGATGTAGAGGCGACCCTGTGCTGCTGCACCAATCGCGTACAGCTCTGATTCTGCTGATGAAAGTGCTATTGTTGCTTGTGTTCTGCTGCCGTAATGTACTGCTGCTCCAAGGAAGTACAGTACAAGTCCTGTTGCGCTTTTCCTTGTTGTTTCACACGATGCCCAGTTGGCATCTGTGTATGTGTCAATGTTGAGTGGAATTCGTTTGTCCTGTGTTTGTATCTTTGGTCGCAGGTTGTGTCGCGAGTACCTTGTTCCTTTAAGGTACCTGATCATGTGCTTGAGCTTCTTGTTGTCAAGTTGTGTTGGTGCCTGTAGTGATCTTGCTAGCTCCTTTGCTCCATAGCTGATGTCTGGTCGTGTGTGTGTGCTAGCCATTGTATTTTGCCAACAAGCCGCCTGTATTTCTTGTGTTGTTCTTGGTCTGGTGGTGCTTCATCTTCTGCTGCACCTTTCATGTGTGGTACTCCTGGTGATGGTGCTGGGTTGCATGTAGTCATTCCTGATTCTTCCAGGATGATGTCAACATACTTGTTGTTCAAACTGATGCCGATGTAGTCGCCTTTGTGTGAGATTTTCCTGCCAAGGAAATGTATTGTTGGTCCAACTGTTAGGTCGCCTGTTTCTCTCAGCAGAACTTTGTTTGGTACTCTGCTGAAGAGCGTGTTGATGATGCTCTGTACTCCTATGAAGAGGAGATCGTCTACATAGGTCATGATGTAGACCTGACAGTCCTTTGACCTGTGAACATTGCTTTCTGTTGTGCATCTCACAAGCCCAAGTGTGACTGCGAGGATGTGTGCTATGTGGTCTCGCCATTGTTTTGGTGATGATCGTAGGCCATAAATGGCTTTGTTCAGCCGCCGCGTTGTGTGTCTGTTGCCATCATTGTAGAACTCATGTGGCGGTCGCATTACCAGGTTGTAGGAGATTGCATGTAGAAATGCAACACTGACATCTCCTGCGCTGACTGACCAGTTGTGCACCAATGCCATTGTGAGGAGTATCCACAGTATGCAAAACGATGGTGTACTTGCAAACAGGAGACCGTGGTCTGTAGCGGGCTCTGTGTAGCCCTTTGCTACTATGCGTGCTCGCACTTCGTTGTGTTTCTGTTCAAGAACCCATCTCGACTCGATGATGTTTGCTTGTTGTTCTGGTGTCATTGTGTTGCCATCACTCTCTGTAAAGACTGATTGATCTTTCATTTGTTGTACTTCCTTCTTCGTTCCTTGTGCTGCCTGCTGTGGATCCAAGCCTTCTGTGTCATGTAGGATTGGCTCTAGTAGGATCCTTTCATGGTTGATTTCTTCTGCATCTTCATTGGATATTGTTTGCATTTGTTTACCATCCTTTGTTGTGAACTCGATGGCGTTTATTCTCATTTTGCTCTTTGGCTGTTCTGATGTTGTGGGTCGCTCAAGTGCTTGTCTTTCTGTTGTGGTGCGCTGTTGCTTGCCTGTACTGCCTCCTGCTACTGTGTCATCTCTTTCTCTTGTCATTGATGTAGGCGGTGGTGCTGGCAGTGCTGGTCTCTGGTGTGTTGGTGATGTAGCCATGGGAGATGTTGGCTCTGTTGTTCTGTTGTGCTTTGTTGGCTGGTCTCCTGCTTCTGTTGCGCTCTGTCTCTTGCCTTCTGCTGTTGTGCTTGTTGTTGCATCTTTCTGTGATGGTGGTGCCGTGCTTGTAGCTGGCATTGTCAATGGCGTTGTAAGAGTTGGTGTGCGCAGCGCTGATGCTGGTGTCTTCCATGGACCTGTGTGTACACAGTCCAGTAGTTGCTGATTGTATTTGTGAGGCATAATCTGCCGTCTCATTGCCCATCTCCCTTACAGGAGTTGGTGTCCAATATGCGTACAAGCAAGAGGCAGACAGAAAAATCCTCCAAAGCAACACAGCAAGCTTCCAATCATACAGCTTGACTTCGGCTACATCAAAGGCTTTGATGAGAGCAACGTGCATTCAATTCTCACAGCAATTGGCATCGAGTCAGGGATGATCATGGCAATACAACTGACAGACAAGAATGCTTTTCACACAGCTGCAGCACTTCCTCATTGAATGTGGAACACACACGATACTACAATCAGATCAGGAAGACTTCCTGACAGCGCTCACCATAGCAGTAGCCAACAAGAATGGCAACAGAAGGGGGAGTAGAGCGAGCACACAGAACATTGTTTGCGCAAATCAGAACACTCAAGGCACAAACAAAACTACAACAGAGACACTTCAATGAAACATCCACTCATGGCCTTGGATAGTTCGACACAGCGCATACATCATGAACAGGTATGCAGTTCACAGCAATGGACGCACAAGCTACTTCAACAGATGGAACAGAGAGCAACACACGCCACTTTGCGAGTTTGGTGAGACAGTGCAACACATGCTACTGACAGTGAAACAATTTCCAAAACCCGAGCCAAGATTCTACAATGGGATCTGGCGTGGCAAGGGTACAACCTCAGGCGAATCCCTTCTTGGCATCTACAACAAGATTGCCAGAACCGACCACAACGCTTACACCACAAGGTCCTGCAGACACAGGATAAGCAGGAGACTACTGGCAGTTCAACACACAAGGAGAACTTGTCAGAGTACACAGGCAACACAGGAAGACACTTTTCACACCATCAAGAACACAGTGTCCAGTTCCCGCAGAGCAACTAGAGGATTACAGGAAAACAACAATCAGGTCCACGGACGGCACAACAAATACATTTGAGGACAAGTATCAAACAACAGAAGGTCCAAACAAAGCACAACCACAGATGTGGAAAGGCGAGGATCAAGAAAGGCACCAAGTTGCCAGAAACGCTACAGCAACAGACAACAAAGACACAGCCAAAGAGCGAGCCGCAGAGGATCACACCACAAGTGATTCACTACAATCCACGAACGAGGTTGAGAGAGAAAACACCACCACCAACACTACAGGAGTCAGCAGCACCACTCATCACCAAAGGTGCAGCTGGACAAGGAATTCCACATCCTTCAGAAGTACATCCTGGAAAAGACATACTGGAAGAGAGTACAGGTTGAGGCATTTTACATACCAGAGCAGACACACGACGGGCCAGACATCAACAGGCTGGACAAACTTTGAGGAACATCAGGAGTTCCCAACACAACTTGAGTCAGATGATGAGGAACAACAACAAGGTACAAAAGCAAAAACAGTACAACCGCCCAAGCAACCAGCACCACAGGAGATACTCGAGCACAACGTGAGCTATCATGCCAATCTGTCCTTGTTCTGTGCTGTGTATCTGTAGCTTTGTTTATTTTGGCAATGTTGTGATTTCTGTTCTCCAATGTGCTGTTGAAGCCTTTGATGCGCTGTAGCCTTGGGTTGTCATCCAGTGTAAGCCTTGTAACTGAAAGAATTGGCTGTGTAACCTCACAAACGTAAAATGGTATGACAATCTGTTGTCCGCTGTGGTTTGTCACGCAAACCCACCTGTACCCGTGAAGCTTAATGTGCTGGTTGGTCACTGTTCGCAGTTGTGGTCCTGTGCCATGTGCTAGTTGGTGTAATGGAATTTGTGATGCATACCATAGCGGGCACACATGTGTAGCCGCACCGCTGTCAATCATGAGATTGACCCATTTGTTGTCTTCTTGCGGTTGTTGTGTTGTGCCAATCATGGCGATGGTTACTTCATGTAATCCTGAGATAGGTACTGCTGATGGATCTGCTACGTGGTGGTTGTGGGAGCGCCAGAGTTGGTGCATCTGTGACTGATCCTGATGGTACCAGTTGTTGTCGTAGTGTGCCTGGTTGTACCAGTCATCTGTCTGGTCATTGGTGTCGCGCTCTGCATTGCTTGGCCATGTGTCCTGGTTGTCCACATCTGTAGCAAACATGTGTTGCTTGTTTTCCTTTTGCTCCTTTTCCTCCTTGTTGGTTGTTGTAGTATCCTTTGCCTTTTCCTTTGTTGCTGTATCCTTTCCCTTTGCCATATCCATGTTGTCCTTTGAATGGATTTCCTTGTCCAACCGGTTGTTGATTGTACTTGCCCTTTCCTCCTTTGTAGTTGTTGTTGCTGTAGTTGTTCCCGTAGTTGCCGTAGCCTTTGCCTTTGTTGTACTTTCCTTTGCCCTTGCGCTTGCCCTTCTTTCCTTTCCCTTTATTTTGCCATGTTGCTCCTATGTCCATCGGTGCCGGTCCTTGATTGTTGTTGCCTGATGTGATTGCTTGTAGCCTGCTGAATGATGCTGTTGCTCTGTAGTACTCGATCACCATTGATCTGGTCTGTGCATATGTTGTGATGTCTCCTGCTTGAAGTTGTAGATGGTCCTTTTGTCTCATTGAGCAGTGATGCAATCTTGACTGCATCTGGTAGTAGTGTGCTGTTGTCTTGTTCGTACCTGGAGATTTGGAACTCCCATGTTGCGAAGCTCTCTTCGAACTTCTGTTCATCAAGTTGTGGTTTGAGTAACCTTGTTAGGTACGCAATGCTTCGTGTACCTAGTGGTATGGAGTATCTTGCATGTATCAGCCGCCATGTTTCAAATCCATTGCCTTGCATGCTTTGCCTGCAGATTGTAGATGCTGGTCCATCGCATGTTCTCCACGAAGAGGTAGTGTAGATTGTTGCTCAGTTGTACCCATTGCTCGGCTACTGCTTGTGAAGGTGCTGCGTTCTGAAATTGGTCAGTGTCCTGTTCAGACTGTTGTATGCTGGGTCTGGTAATCCCAAGTATGCTGTCACTTGTACTTCCAGTCTTCGAAGGTGGTGGTGATATCTTGTGTCTGTGGGTTCGTTCCAACTGCTGTTGTTCCTGTTGCTGCTGTTGTTGTGCCATGTTGCTCACTACTATGTACCTGAGCCTGTGAGGGTGTGATGGAGCGCACCCTGGGTTGTGGTCGAGGATCGTGTACCAGGGGTCACTGCTCCGCTACCGTGTAAAAGTGTGTCAAACCTGTGATGTGTCAGCGCGGCACTTGTTGTCACTGCGGGCGAGGGCTGTAGGCTCTATCATGTAGATAGGCTCAAGGCCTTGATGCACAAAGGCAAGGGTCATGCACAAGGATGGATGTACATCAACAATATATATATATAGATATTTATATATATGTTTATCTCTGTGTGTGTGAGTCTATGTGTGCATATTACATGATACATATACATATATCTGTGATTGTTTGCTTGGCTTGTTTGGCTGCATAGGACCTACCGCTATCCAGCCAGTTGCGATAGCGCGTACTACTGGCTTTGGGCGCGGTATGGTGCAAGCCTTGCATACCGTGACTCAGCTGAGCTTCGGGTTCCGAGCTTGAGGCATCCCAGCTGTCAGGGCAAAGTCCTGGGTGAATTGTAACGACCGAATTCACAAATGGTGGCTTATGTGGGGAATAGCCCCCAAACCACCGCAAGTTTCAGGCTGGTGAAATATTATAATTCACCCAGACAGTCGGTCAGGAAATTGCAAAATGGACTGTTTGGCTGCTGCTCTGCATCCAACATGACCTTGCGAGGAACATTCTGCATGTTCATCTTCCTCCTGTTCGGTGTTCCACGTGGAAGGGTGTGGTTTACAGATGCTGGCTCCGCAACAATGCTGCCTGGCGGGACTGAGTCGATCACTACTTGTTGCCAAGTACATCGCATTAATGCATGCAAATGCAAATGCTGCGCTTGAGGTACGCATACTTGCTGCACATGCCTTTGGTGCGCTACACTGCCATGGGCCTGACAAAAGCGGATGCGCTTTATGCTGCCACATTGGCAAATCTGCCGCCAGCGCTTGATTACATATGTTTCATTGCACTGGCAACTGCTTTGAACCTGTGGTTTGCCATGATTGCTCCTTAGTTGCATGAGAGAATTGTTTGCAGGTCCGCAGCAGCTTGGTGCAACTCATGCACATAGGTGGCCTTTTGGAAAGTTAGATAACCCTGGTAAATGGAAGAAACCCCGCCTAAACCAGTGGAACCCATCTATTTTTAATCAAACTAACCTAAAAAGGACACCTATGCTCATGCAGGGGTGGAAGGAGCCGAAGGTCCGAAGGTCCGGAGGCTTCCGCTGAGGTGTACGTCTTGACCCTCCATCCGGTACGCTCGATGTTCGGTGTGTTGATCGAGCCGACGTGGCTGCTGAACCTGGCCACGGCCAAAACTCGCAGCCCGGAAAAGGCGGAGGAGGCCAAGTGAGCCCTGAGGCGCTGTAGAGATTGGAGTCACGTTGCGGACAGCAGGAGCATGAAAACAGTAGACAACTAATGATACTTAACACCGCTATATATTAGTCCTTCAGAAGTCATTCCTAACATTTTGAAATATATTTGGAAAATTCAATTATCAATCAATAATTAAATAAATAACAGAGAGGCATAGAGACAGAGAAAGAGACAACGAGTCACAGAGAAATAGGCGGAGAGGCAGAGGCAGAAATTGAGGCAGGCATTATACCAGCCTGTTTGGTATCACGAACCTTGGCAGGAAACATCCAGCAAAAACAGCTGCCTCAGCAGGGCTCCTTAAAAGATACATTTTGCCCATTTGAAACATGGCTTTTCCCACCAAAATAAAGGGGAAACCACCATGTAAAAGGCAATGTTCAGGTGTATAATGCAAGGATCCCTGCTCAGTTTCGCGCGATCATCGCTGGCTGCCCCACAAAGACCGCTAGCCACGCTTTGACCGCACATCCATAGCTTCCTTCACTTCCGACACAGCTGCCCACATGACTGCCACGAGACATTTCCACCCCTGAGAGCGCATTTGTCTCGATCTTGTATTTCCCCGGCAACAGTTGCATGTCATAGCCCAATGACAGTTGAGTTGATTTTTGCATTGTCACAGCTGGTTGAACACCAAGTTGGCACAAACTGGCAATCGCTAGCTGCTAGGGATGACAACGTTGCGGCCGTTTCATTTCTACTGGAAACATGAGATTCCCATCCCAAGGCAGAACTTGCAGGGACCGTGTTTTCACAGAGCTGGCTGCAAAGTGTTTGTCAGGTTGCGTGCATGGTGCCATGGTTTAGGCTCAAATAAGCCCACAGGTCTCATGTGGAAGCAGCGCGTCATATGTTTGCCTTGTTGCTTTTTGGTCAGCTGTCATGCCGCCCAACTGGATCAGATTCCGCCATATGGTGAAGCCGCACCCGGGCAAGCGAATTCAGGCTGCGGCACGGAAACAGACTTTACCATGATGCTTATTCGATCTCGGGCTTACTATCGCACTGGGTTGTTTGAGCTCTCGGATTCCGAACGAGTTTCCAGGATATTGGAACATAGAGATGTGATCAAAGATATTTGCACTGTCGCGCTGTTGCAAGCGATTCTTTTGAAGCTGGAAGAGAACTTGATTTACCAAGCGGATGCCTTTGAGAGTCTCATGTCGCAGTATGCCCTATACTTGCACGAGGCCATCAGGCAGGGGCGAATCCGACAGGAAGACATGGAGGTATGGCCTTTGGATGAAGGCATTCAGCGCGTGCGCAATATCAGCCAGGCCCTTTCAGAGAAGAGACCATTGTCAACTGCCATGGTAATGAACTACTGCCAGGTGACTTGACTGCTATTGGGTTGGATCTTTAGACTTTAGCTTTTTGGTTGAATTCAAGCAGTTTTCCGCTAAACCCCCCAAAAAGTGAAACGTCTTGCAGAGGGGTCAACAACAACCAAGGTGACTGATCGCTTTGGTGCGAGCCACGAGTTAGATTGGCTGGCGGAGCCTTTCTTTGCGGAGGCGGCCGAGGGAGGCCTTCTGGCAGAGACGGATTTGTATATCTACCAAGTGGATTGGCCCTGGTGCAAGCCTTTGCAGGAAGGGATCCTGCGCAAGCTCCGCCGAGTTGTGCGAAGGTTGCACGTGGTGCCGTATGCAGGGGGACCTCGCCGGGAAGAGCAGACCGCCTATTTCAAGTACATCTCGGACCACTGGGACAACCTGCCGGATTTCACGATTTTTGTTCATCCAGATGCTGACGAGCATCAGGGCGCTGCATTCTTGGCCTTGAGGCGCGCATTGAGTCTGATCAACACGCAGTCCCAATTTGCCTACGACGCCCTGGGATACTATCCCCTTGCCCAGCAAATGGTGGTCGAGCCTCGGCGCACCTGGGGGCCAGGCTTTGCACCCAAGTGGCGGCGCTTTTGGCGCCGAGTCTTCGGACATCCGTGGGACATCTTGGGCCACAAGCCGCCTCGTTGCAAGTGGGAGAGGCACGCGGGGCATTACTTGGCGGCGCATGCGGAAGCGGGTCAGCGGCAAACGCTACCTGCGGCCAAGGCGGCTTGTGCTCTTCTGGAGGAAGACTGCGCTGGTGTCACGTGCCTCACTCCCTTCGACCCGCTGGAGGCTGATTCGGCACTTCCGCTGCCTCAGGACCGGTTTGGTCAGAGGTCTTGTACGGCCCGCGTGGGAGCGGAAGGTCTGATCAGCTCTCCTGAGCCAAGCGAGGCGGGGTTGGCTCCTTTGAATTCCAAATGCATATGGGGACCGGAGGTTCAGTCCATGCTTCCATTTGCCGGTTCCATTTTGGATACCTGTTTTTGACCCATACCCAAATGATGACTGACTCTTCAAGGCGCAGGCTTTCATAAGTTTCCTTCAGCATTGCCCTTTTTAGGAGTTGGTTTTTCTTCCCCGCCGATTTCGGAGCACCGTCAGGTGAGCTACCTGAAGACCTGTGCAGCAGAAGGTCAGTCCGCACACGCAGCAGACTTCACGGAAGACTCGGAGACCGGTGCGACGTATCAGAAAGCGGAGGGCACCTTCCTCTTCGGCTACGCAGAAGAGGACGAAGTCAGCCGCGGAGAGGCCGACGCCCGAAGACGCTGCGATGAGTTGGGGGACGCATGCACTGGCTACACCTGCGCAGCATCCATCCAGGTGAGCCCCTCCACGACGAAAAAGGGATACGCCGAGGCGCAGCAGGCGCAATCTTGCACTGTCCGTTCCGGCCGGGAGCTCATCCGCAGCCCAAGCAATGAGCTCACCTATCTCAAGGTGTCTCCTAGTGCAACTCAGTTCTTTTTGGTGACTAAAAATGGTCTTCCCCAAAAAGGGTTCCCTTTCTTTTCCAGGGTCACTGAACAACTGAGGCAATGCTGCACAGTGCCGTGGCACGAAAAGGAGACAAAGCCGATGCCAGCGGCGATTTTCAATTCTACACCGGGTCTCAGTCCATTGTCAGGAAGGACCAACTGGCTGTGGGTCAAAACCAATGGTATCCCATTTTGAGGTAGGTGCACCACCCATGTTGGTCTATTTTGGTTGGGATTGGGATGTTCACTGGCCAACTTGTCCCATGCAGATTGTTGATTCGCATCCTTGCAAGCGCGCGCGTTTTTTTTCCCGTAGGACCGCTTACAGTGGTGGCCATTGGAGGAGATCCAGACATTTGCAGCAGATGGAATCTGGTGTTCGGACACCACCGGCCTGTTTGAGGCATGGCCTTAGCGCGGATTTGTTTCCGTGAGCGTGTCGTATGCAATCTTTCGATTGGGACCAAAACTCATCTTTGATGCATCTTGCCAAAGGATGTCAGGACTGAAAAGCTTTTTGGCAACGAATGGGTTTTCCGTATTAAACCACTAAAAGTTAAACTTTTAGCAGGGGAGACGAAAGCAAACGAGTTATTGAGAACCCCATTTGCAACGAACCGCGGCTCCAATCGCAGGCTGTGTGGCACCGAATGTTCGGCGAGCCTCTATCACAGCATCCTCGCGGGCATGATCCCGCACTGCAAGCCTGTCATGCATTGCCAGTTTCGCCGGGTTTCCGCATCCATGCATGGTTGTTGTTGGGAAACATGTTTTCCCATTTTTGCTTATTGTGGTTTAGTGGTGGAAATCCCCACCTAACTGCTAAAAAATATTTTGTTGCTCCCCTTCCAAGGTCAACCAAGCATCGGGGAGTCCCATACCGCTGACGGGTTGAGCATCTTCTCCAGGAGCTTTCAAGATTCTCAAGATGTTAGCAGGTCCTTTGTGGGAGCTGCAGCCTCTGAGGGAGCACCCTCACTCTGGCAACTTGGTTCGTGGCCGACGGTTGTTTTTGCGCCCGCCAGGCCGCTCTACTTGAAATGGGAGGTCCCGACCTTCTTCTCCTACGGAGATGAGGGAGTGATATGAACCGTGTCACACTTCCAGGCGCATTGGCATCCAATGGGCTTCCCCCTAAAATGGGGAGATTCCAACCAAAGACCGTCGTGTTTTTTGGGTTCCAGCTGAATCCGCAATGCAACCCTCAGGTGGTCGGTCAGGATCGACGATGATGCAAGCTCCGAGTGCCTTGGATGGTTGCTTTTGGATTTAGCGCGGGGGGGGGGGGGGAACTTGCATTTGCTTCCATCTGCTTAAGATGTTTGTTTGTTATTTTCCGCTGGTTTTAAAGGGAATCGATCACTACTGGAAATATGTATTTTTCCAAGGGGTCTTAACCAAATGGAAGTTTATGCTATGAGTCAAGGTGACATAGTTCGTCTTTGTTTGGAGTCGGTACCCTTTTTTAGAAGTGGCTTTGACGAGAACCCAAATGAACAATAACCAGTTCGGGGGTGCGCTATTCTAAGGCACTTCCATGTGAGCGATATCCCTTCGACATCAGCAATGCTTCCGAAACAAGCAAATGCACCTCCGACCAGCAGACTCCTCGAGAGCTCCTACTTCAAACCCAATGGTACCCCATTTTGGGGTAGGGGCACCACCCATTTTAGTCTATTTTAGTGGGGATTGGGATGTTCACTGGGGGTACGATTTGGCTTTTGACCCATGGCCATATAGCGATGGCCTTCTCAGCTTGTTTGGCAGAAGTATGCAGAAGTCATGCACATCAGAACAGTCACAGCCACAGCAGCAAGGCCAATCGCAGCACAAACCTTTCAGACTCATCTCTAGCAACCTTCCTGTAGAAGTCAAGCTGCATAACCAAGCTCCGCAAAAGGTGACCAGTCAGGTTGCGGGCCTCAGTTTGGCAAGGGACTGTAGACCGGTTGCCTGAAGCAAGAACGAATTTCAGCGTCACCGGTTCTTGAGGTATGCGAGGGGCTCATGTGCCGAATGGGGTCACTCACCTAAAGCCAGAGGGACCACTCGTTCGATTTAGTTTGTTGTCTGAGTTTGAGCGATTAAGGATCGGCATTGAGTGTGCAGTGCGGACCGCGCTTCGCACAGATGCGAAGCGCTTGAAGATCCCCCGAGATCGCGGCCGGAGGGCTCTCGGCTGACGCTCGCCGAGGCATTGCAGGCGACCCACAGGAGTTTTGACCGTGAATCGGAATAGTTGAAACATCCAAAGGAAAATGTCCAGTTGCTTGTAATGTAGATAGTCCAAAGAACACCCTTTGAGATTCATACGGCCAATTTGCGCTGTGATCGCCTGGGGTATGGCCAAGTGAGCTCGCATGCAACTGGAGAAGCGCATGAGCGCGAAAGTGGGAGGGAAAAAAAGAAACCGAATGGAGAGGCAGGTGTTTCGTTTTGCCAAACCTCCGGGAGCTTTGGCTTCGCGACGTCATGCCTTTAGTGACCTCGAAGCCACTAGGCTCAGAGGTCTCGAGGGTTTGGTGCGCAGATCCGACGCTTGGCGCCCGACGCATCGGGAGATACCTCCTCATGAAGCGCAAGCACGAAGAGTCGGCTTACCTCTTGACCCTCCGCCGGAGGGCAGGTGAGCTGGTGGCCCGCGCTGGCCTGGAGAACGGGGAGGTGAAGCTGGCGTACAAGAAGTTGGTGGCCGAGTTTCTGCACGCAGGAGGTCCGGCAGACGACCTCATCGTGAAGATCGGCGCCCAGTTTTTTGGATGCCCCTTGGGGAAATCCAGAGGACCCGTGGGAGACAGCCCTCTGCCAGGCTCCAAGCTCTTGGACTTTGACTATTTGGAGAAGTTCATGGTGGATTGCTTCATGGCGTCCGCTTGACTGCTATTGGGCAACGCATCTTTAGACTTGTTCACTTTTTGCGGGGAAAAAAGCGGTTCTCCACTAACCCCCCCAAAAAGTTGAACTTTTCGCAGGGGGGTCAACAGCAACCACCAAGGTCCGGGTGTCCAGAAAAGGAGTCCAAGATCTCGGCCAATGTCTTGATCGAAGCAGACAAGCGAGGGATCGACAGCCACGGCATCGGGCGGCTCAAGTCCATTTACTTGGACCGCATCAAGAACGGCATTCTGAAGCCTTATGCTCCGATCGACATCATCAAGGAAACAGAAACCACAGCTTTGGTCGATGGGAACATGGGCATGGGCTTGTACGTGGGTCCCTTTTGCATGGACTTGGCCATTGCCAAGGCAAAAGGGTTGGGCAATGGTTTGAAGCAGTTGGTCGCCTGCCAAGCTAGGAGGTTGTGGATTGCTTCTAGGTCCCCCAGTAGTGCCCTTTCTCACCCCGTTTTTGGCGGAGGGTTCCCTACTAAAATAGACTACAGGAAAAAGTTGGTACCCTTATTCTAACCTCTCTACTAGAGGACCTGGGCTTCAAATGGTATACAAAAACTCTGTGATTCGCCGAGGCGAAGAAGTTCGGACTGGGCTTCGTAGCATGCCGGAACTCCACGCATTACGGGATCGCCGGGTACTACGCCACCATGGCAACTCAGAAGGGCTGCATCGGGTTTTCTGGGACCAACGCACGGCCATCGATCCACGGCGGTTTTGGTGCACGTCCCATGTTTGGACTTGAGTTTGGAGGGATCTACAACATCTGTGGATGGACGAAATCCGATCGCACCACCCTGAAACCACGGTTGGAACCATTGCTTGCTTGGTATTTACAAGGGAATCATCAATCCAGGGTTTCTTAGGTGGTGCAGGATTTCGTCCATCCACAGTATGGGTGTGTGTGTGTGTGTTTGTTTTGAGGGTAACCTTGTTGGTGCGGTTTTCAAGAGAAGCATCAATTAATTTTGAGGGTCCCCTCATTTTGAATACTCCCTGCGCTACGTAGTTAATTGGGGTAGCTAGTCAGTCCAATTGCTATGTGCGGATTGTTTTTCGATTGTTGCACATATTGTTGGGGGGGGTCAAACAGATTCTTGGAGCTGAACCTGTATTGAATCAGAAGATGGAGCAGTGGGGTGCAATTATGCTGGCTTGCGTGTGAAAAAAGCGACTGAGGGGACCCCCCCCCTTGGAACATAACCTTGACCCAGCCCCATGCTTGATCTCCGCCCCACACAACGCCAACATTGAGATGCGCGGAGAAGAGTTCTGACGGTTTGCCCTTTTGATGCCATCGTCGATCCCTTTTTCGCAGAGGCACAAGGAAGCCACAAGGACGATCCGGATTCTTAAAAAAAGAAAGAAAAAACACATCCGAAGAGTGATGGGACACCTCGTCAAATCCGCAAGGCCAGAACACGGTAAACAAAAACAGTCCCCTGCTTGATCTCTGCCTCCAATTCATCCAGGCGAGCGCTCAGGTCATGTGGCTGCGGCTCAAAAAACCGGAAAAATCCAAAATGGGTTGCCCTGGTAAGTGGAAACATGGACCAAAACCCGCGGTTTGCTCTCCTGTTTGATTTTAAGCCACAGCCATGTACCCCTGGACTGGCAAAAATCACCGGGAAGTGTTGGAAACTCAAGTTAACTTGTCTCAGGGTTTGTTTACCATGATTTGGGCACTAATCATGCATGTCATTGAGTACCCAATCAAAATAGAACAATCAGAGCCCATAGTACCACATTTGTGTCAACTCTTTGTTTGTTTTGCAAAAGGGACCGACGGAGTCCGTCCTAAGGATTGCGCCAACTTTCGGGGTGGAGCCCTGTCTTGGAACCAACCCGCTCTGCTTTGGCTTTCCCTCGGATGAGCCCTTCCCCTTTGTGATTGACTGCGCCACCTCCATTTGCCAGCGCGGCAAGATCGAGAAGTATGCGAGGTGCGGCAAGTGGGAAATAGCCCGTGACATACCAAAGCTGGTCATTCCCATCCCATCCCTTTTTTATCACTTCAAGGGGAAATAGGGCAACCGCAGGTTCCACCATGAACTGCCGAGGTTCGGCAAGTCCACGCCCAAGGGCATGGTCATTGACAGCAACGGCGAAGAGCGCACAGATACGGAAGGCATTCTGAAGGGCATGGTGAAGGGTGAGTGCGCCCTATGTCCTGTGGGAGGCGGGAGATCTCGATCTGCCTGGCATCAGTGTGATGTGGTTTCGTCCCGTTTGGAGGCTTGGTAACCATTGCTCGGGATGTCACGTTTGAGGGTGTACCCCATAGGCCCAATTCACGAATCATAGCCTTGTGGCTTACCAGTTGCACAGACGGCTTTACTGTTCTGGTTTCATGATATGGAGGTATTTATTTGGGAGAAGGTCAACAGTTGACCCCAGAATCAACCAACCAGTGTATTCATAGGGTGGGGGCCCCGACCCAAGAGTGGTTCCCCACGAAACCCGGAATCGGACACCCCCTTATGAATAACTAGGTCCCCCAGTAGTGCCCTTTTCCGTTTCTTTGGGAGAGGCTTTCCTCCTACTAAAATAGACTACAGAAAAAAGTTGGTACCCTTATTCTAACCTCTCCACCTCAGGACCTAGCCTGCAGGCACGACCAAGCGACCAAGGGCGGTAACGACCCGAAGGGAACCCTTTTCTCCTTCTTCTTCTTTTTGCGCCTTGAACCTGGTTGTCACCCAAACGAACACTGTTGGTTGATGAAGATGGGGTTAACCTAAAACCCCCCATTGCACCGGCGAAGAGTGGAGGTGTGGGCGATGAGCTGGGCGGCTACAAGGGCTACGGCTGGGCCGCGGTGGTGGAGCTGTTGAGCATCGCCTTCCAGGATGGCGACTTTGGCGCGGCCCTCTCGGGGGTGGACGCGAAAGGCCGGTGGCAAACATGGATGTCGATCAGTTGTTCAGTGACCCTGGAAAAAAGGGAACCAACAAAATTTGGGGAAGGCCATGTTTGGTGGGGAAAAAGTCACCAAAAGAAAGGAAACGGGGGAGCCACTGAACAACTGAGATGTTGCCGTGGCTCAAAATTAAACCACCAGGGGTTACGCAGGTGTTGGTCCATGTTGCCACGTACTAGGGTTCCATTTTGGTACCGGGTTTTTGAGCCCCAGGCATGTGTGTGTGTGTGTGTGCGTGTGCGTCACGCACCAAGGATTGCCCAATGGACACTCATTCAATTCCGCGGGTTTGTCTCAGCCCGGACGGCTTGCCCCATGATTGTTTCTTGCCCCCAGAGTAACGCAGGTCGCCACGGGTTTGGAATAAAGCGGAGGCAGTTTCAGGCAGAAACAAACCAGCCCAAAGCAGGACGAGAAACCGGATCTGCTGAGAGGTCTGCGCAAACGAAAGAAAAGACGATACTGCCCGGCGAAACGCCCCCGTGTGCGCGATGCCCCGGTTTTGGGCCGCCTCTTAAAAAGACAAAAAAAAACTCGCAAGGTGGCCAGTGGCCGGGGGATTGGAGTGATTTGGTCCTTGTAGTGAGCATGAGGGGCACCGCGTCATGGGCACGGCCGCAATTCTTCACTTGAAAGACATCAGATAAGCACCAGTTTTTGTTTGCCTTTTCTTTTTCCGCGCCCTTCAACCATCATTTGCTTGAACAACCGCCTGTACGTTTTCAACTGTTCGGGCGCCAACCACTGCAGGGAAGCCAGCCCCGATGTCCCTGGGGCACTTCTTCTTTGCCATCAACGTGGAAGCGCTTTGCGACCTCCAGGCGCGGACGTGCAGAATTATGCAGATGATGCCTTGACAGCCTCGGTCCCCCAGTAGTGCCCTTTCTCACCCCTTTTTTGGGGGGAGGGCTCCACTAAACCCACAAAAAGTGACAGTTTTTGCAGAGGCAACCAAGCTCCATTTGCGTAAGTGCTCAAGTACCCTGGACCAAGAACATGTCCGGCAGTGACGGATACCTTTTGAATACTGAAGTCTATTTTTAGCACGGCCAAACTGTTGAACAGACAAGACCGTTGGGCATGCCAGGTTCGTGTTGTTGTTCAAATCCGTGCCTCGCTTGCTCGCAAGGGCGATTTGGCCGTGGGTCAAAACCAATGGGATCCCATATTGGGGTAGGTGAATTCACCACCAATTTTAGAACCTATCTTAGTGGGGATTGGGATGTTCACTTGGGGTACGATTTGGATTCTGACCCATGGCCATTTGGCTGTGTGTCAAAATTAGGTACCCGAAATGGATCCCCAGTAAATGGAAACAAGGACTAAAACCTACGGTCCATATCCTGGTGGTTCAATTTTGACCCATGGCCATTTGGTTGGGATGTTCACTGGGGGTACGATTTGGCACCATCCATTTTCAAACCTACTTTAGTGGGGATTGGGATGTTCACAGGGCGGGATTTTGACCCATGGCCATCCAAGAATGTGTAGTTTCCTCCCAGAATGGTCCACAAAGGGGCCTGTGTTCATGATGTTCTTTGCCGTGCAAGGTCTGAGTCGTTGTATGTTAGGTCTTCAAGAAGAAGTCCGGGGACTTCTTGCGCTACCTGCGGAGCTCAGCCAAGGACCCCAACGGCCCCGGCCGGATCTGGACGGCGGGCGAGCCGGAGCATGACTTCCGCAAGCAGCGAGCGGCCGAAGGCGCTGGGTTTGGGCGAGGCTCCCAGTGAGCATTTTCAAGCCCTGGCCATGTTGAGGTTACTGACTCACGATAAGAGTTGGACCGATTGGACGTGGGTAGAGCGGGGGCACATGCGCGTCATCCGGCTCAGGGCTTTGGGTTGTTAAGGCCTAAGCCTTTGTAAACCATGTTGGTAGAGCCACAAGTCAATTGGTTTCAGAGCCCGCTCGGGTGTCCTTTTGGAGAAGAATGTGTGTGCTGGTAAGTAATGATCAAAGTGTTTCACCAGTGGGAATCCATGTATGTTCAACCAAACTAGCAGGATACCTATGGCAGGTTGTGCAATAACAGTGTAAAGTATTGGGTTTGGGTCGCAGAATGATTTCGTATCCTGTTTTACAACCCCAGGCCACAATTATGTGCTCTTTCTGCTTCCCGAATCTTGTCTAAAGCACATCTCCGCCAAAGAAGCTTCAGTTAGACTTTTTTGTTTAACGATGTTTACATTTTCTTTTACGAAGACCCTATGCGGTCAACCTCGGGTCAAGTGCAATCAATGTGGCAGGCGACGATCAATCGTTCATGGGGGGGAGGGGGAGCGGGAGGGAGCCCGAAAAAGCCCTAAGTAAGGCCATATTAAGGGCTAAGTAAGCCCTAAGTAATGTAATAAGCCCTGAATATGGCCTTACTTAGGGCTTATTTGGGCTCCCTCCCACCCCCTCCCTCCCCAGCCCCCATGAACGATGGACAGCGTAAAAAACACCACGATAAAAACAGCCCCCTTGGATCCAAAGCCGACGCACCGAACCACAGGTCGGTCTCGAGGCCAACATGTCTGGAATCCTCGTGGTTTGAAAAAAAGACACTGGTGGAAAGCGTGGAACAAATGAGAACCACTGAAACCAGTGGAGTAGACGCGCCATATTCTATATTGTGATGTGTGTATTTATGTAATGTACGTAATATAATGCAATGTAATGTAGTGTAGTAATGTAATGCAATGTCTGTAATGTAATGTGTTGTAATGCAATGCAATGTATTGTAATGTAATGTAATGTAAAGTAGCGTAGCGTAATGTAATGTAATGTAGTGCAATGTAATGTAATGTAATGTAATGCATTGTAATGCAATATATTGTAATGCAATGTAATGTAATGTACAGGAAGGTATTGTAATGTAATGTAATGCATTGTAATGCAATATATTGTAATGCAATGTAATGTAATGTACAGGAAGGTATTGTAATGTAATGTAATGTAATTTTATGTATGCACATGTAATGTAATGTAATGTAATGTAATGTAATGTAATGTATGTATGTATGTATGTGTGTGTGTATGTATGTATGTATGTATGTATGTATGTA